ACGTATCGTATCTCATTGTTTTAAAGTCATCAGTTCTGGTCGAATACTTCGGAAACAAAGAAATACGCCACGGTACGTTACGATACGATACGATACCATTAAAGTGGAAATAAGGCCTTGTACTGAAAAACTGCAGAGGAAATTATTGTAATATGACATTCTTGATTGCAAAGCTGTTTCGTTTGTCAATTTATTGAGATTATTATCATTATTCATTATTCAACGATCAAGAGCAGAGGTTAGTTTGGCCTTCAGGCAGACGACGCCCTAAAAAACTGAAAATTAATGAGTAGGCTATAAATTATTGAACTAATGTTTTATCGGTTGTGCCCAGATTAGTTCGTATTTCTGCAAAACAATTGGTCATATAATATAGGAGAGCTGTCTTGTGTAAGTTTTATTAACGTTTTTTACACTACAGTGAATGAAATGAGGTACCTGACCTCCAGATACATTGTCATGCCAAATAAAGCAGAGGTTATGCCACTATGTAAAATTGGAGACAATAAAATTTAAATTTGGGGTAAACTAGGTTTCAACGAAAGGTAGTATGTACATAAACAATATGTATGACTGGTTATCTCAGTGACAACAACGGCAGTATAGCTATGATCAATTAACAGTTCGCTGAATAAATAAATATCAGATAGTGTCAGTGAAAATTCTAAAGTAAATATACAGTGAAAACAATGTGGGCAATATATTCCAATTGATAAACATGCATAGACTAAAGAACATACACTTTCATTTTTACACACAAGCAGTTTCACAAATGGAACGGGATTTATATAAAACATTTCTACATTGAATTGTGGCATGGCCGCATGCAAACAACGTCGTCGCGACAGGAGATGCTATAATTTTAGCGATAAGGGGTCAGAACCATGTTACCATATTAGAGTGGCTTTTATCATTGAAACTATCGTCAATAATGGCCACAAAGTTATCGAGGCAAACCAAAAGAACGTAAAATCAGTAGCGATGATATAATATCAGAGGTATTATGACATATGACTAGAGATGATACAAGTGAAAAAATTTAGTGTATTGGCGATATTTTAAATATATCAATCTACTCCGCCGGCTCTCGAAACTCTGGGAAGGAAAGTTTCAAACATAAAGGCAGTGGAAAAATCTCTCTTTCTCAATGAATCTTGCATGGAGATTATACATGTTTAAACCGAACATCAATGTCATCATTACAACGCTAGTAGATTAAACCAGAAAATCATCTTTTGGTTTTCATCTGTAATAGGAATTTTTTACAACTTGTTCAATTTATTCCTGGGGTTTGTTCGTTATACATCACCGGCACTCTTGGAAACGAGTGGCGTCGCTCATTTTTAAATAATTAAACGTAACAAAACCTCCGCAAGTCAACAGAATACGGAGATAGCCTTGATTTGATTTTAACACGAGATTTGATGAAGGACAGCTGAAAGATTTAATCGGAAGTTGATAAGAATGAATTTTCTTCTCTACGTCTGCTTCAAAGGAAATTGCTTTTTCTTTTATTTACATATCCTTTTATTGTAAAAATATGACCAATAACACAGGAAAAGGAAATTACCGAAACGGATATCCATCATGGTTTATGGCTATCATATCGCGACCTACCCCGAATCAATACGACACAACTATATAAGTTATAGTGAAAACTGTAATGTATTTCGTTCAAGTGTCAGCTATATAAAGAAAGGTTTAAAATGGGAATAAGTAGCTTGCACTAATCAGATAGAATAAAAGATAAAAGTTTAAACACACGAAGCTCATCTTACGGTCTATAAATATTTGTGAAACGTGCGAGTTAATTGAGACGACGGCATGACGTAGGTAGTTACTCAGGTAGATATTAGAACACGGATATTTACCTCGCGCGTTTTTTGACGTTTTTCTCCGGCCCAACATCGCTGGGAATGTAGTAGCGCAAACGACCACCGGTGTCTGCAAACCGTAATCATCTTTATTCGGATTTATGATTTTACAGTAATTGGCAATTCATGCAGTTTAAATGGGAAACATTGAAATCAAAATATTTTCACGCAAAATTCAGGACGAGCAAATTTGAGAAACTTTAGATTGCTATGCTAAAGTAATTTTGCAAAATGGGCAGGATTTTCGCGGCTGCGGCATTTTTCAGAGGCAGTTTTTCAATTATACTTTGGGGGCAAAGGTCGAAAAGCTGGGCAAATTTTTATCAGTCGAATTCTATTAAAATTCGGGCAAGCCAATTTTGGTTGAAATCAGTGATAAGTCTGACAATTTGTACTCCTGCATGACTTGGGTAAATTTTGCTGAAATCATTCGCCTGGTTCTCCAAAATATATACTTGACCTCGTGCATTGCAATGATACAAAAAGGTTTCATTCCATGGCTTAGTATGAGAGATTTAGCATTATCTGTAGTGGGCCTGATGGCCCATGCATGAACTGCTTGCATGATGGTCAATCGAGGAAGATTTGGGTTAATAATCAATCGAGGAAGATTTGGGTATGACATTAAATGGAGCACTTTGATGCTTTCAACCTGAAAATTTTATGAAATCATGCAATAAGTTCTAATAATCATTCGCGGGGGCTTACATTACGGGGGTTTAAAGGGCGGGGGTAAAAGCACCCCAATTTTGACAAAATTTGCATGGGTCAGAATCGACTTCATGTTTCTTGTGAAATTTACAAAAGATTCCATTTTCGACGATCTAAAATTTTCACTGTAAATTTCGACCTCGCGTCAACCATCAGGGTTGGACCTCACCTCCAAAGATTCAGCTCTTCCACCTTCGATAATCTCAATAACCTAAAGTTGTTTAAACGTGAAAAAAAAGAGAAAATATAAAATATCTTTCACTAGACGTAGAATTCAACACGAATAGTTTGTTATGATGTCAAAATATTCATAAATATAATATATTTAAAATCATACATCAAATTAATTACAGTATTCAAATTAATAAGTCAAAAATGACATGGGATGTTGGTTTAGACCTTAACAACTTGTCGTAGCGGCGAGGAATGCAGGTGTTTTCAACTTCAAAATTTGCTACCGACAATTTTGCTAAGTAAGTAAAGAGTATGCGTACAATCCTAGCAAAAAAGAGCTTCATGGGAGACTAGAGTTACCCACAATAATTAAACAAAAAATAGTTTAAAAAATAATTTTAAAGGGGAAATAATAACATAGCAAATTATGTGTTAACATTAAACTACACCTGTTGTGATATGCATTTGAAAGTCATTAAATTATATTTGAAATTGCTTTAAACGCAGATGGCCCTCAGAAATGACTGTCATGTTAGGTCAACAAAAAAAAATATTTACATAAAAGAGAAATTAATCCTAAAATTTCAAGTTGGGAAACTTTTATAATATTTTAATGCATGTTGGATATGAATGTAAAAGCCCCATGTCTGAAAGACTCTGGTGAATCTGGCCGTGGATTAAAGGAATATTTAGAATAATATGTGGATAATTTTTGTTTTGGGCAACGTATATGAGACAACTGTATGATGCAGTAAAAGACCATTAATGGCATTAGTGCTCTTATATTGCAGCTTTTTTCTTAGGTATAACTCATCATGCTCAACTGAAATTCCCGCTCATTTCTCGGCCTACTATAATCAAATATCTCCGGTAGCAGTGAATATTTAACACAAATATTGTTCGAAATAGCAACTTTTCAGAATGAATAAACTTCACTAAATTAAACATCGTGATGGGAAGACAAACTGAACTCAGTTGAAATCTGAGAATTTCAAATACTACATGCATGTTTTCAAAACATAACCCGATATCAATTGTTCTTGTACTTCGTGACTCAAGAGAGTTTTTAAATCTAAAAGATAAAGCAAGTACAAATAGACCATGGTTTATACGGTATCTACTCCATGGCATAGCCGTAGATGATGCTCAGCTGATAATCAAAATGCTTCCCTATTTTAAACAAGAGAAATAGTAAGGTATTTGTTTCTTTAATTTCCTGCTATGCCGCCCTGGGCGAACGTGGCTTCATTTCAATAGAACTGGGAGAAGACTCTGCATGAGATAATTCTAGGGAAATATTAGATTAGAATACTGACAGAGAAGAGAAACGACTAATCAAATACTAATATTGTAAGATGAGAAAAGTACGGCTTTTGAATTTCAGGCTGAAAGCATATTGAAATGAAATTGATATATTGATATATCACTGTGCCAAACATATGATTACATTTGGAGGTTATTTTAATGATAAAATCTCTCATGCACACAACGAAGCACGCAACACGACAAAAAATATTTCGTAACCAAAGCAATTTTGATTTTATGCCTGAGAACGACGATATAAAGAATCTCGGAGGGGATAAAAAATTACCTCAGTTATGATGGGGTTCTTGTAGATTGGTAAGCATGTACTTCAGGAAACTTGGGAATGGAATTTAAACTATGCATGGAACAGTCAGACAGGCTGTGAATGTGTGTCTGCGGTGATTGAATGTTGCTCAGACAAAAAAAACGAAGGAGTCATCTTGAATTCTTTGCTAGTCAGGTTGGAAATAGAAGGAGGCATGAAATGAATATTTAATTTTTTCATTTATTTTGAAAAACAAGGCTATCACCTGGTGGGTCCTTACCCTTAATTTAGCTTGCTTGACCATTTATCAACTTACAAAAACATACATCCTCGTAGATTATGGTAGAAATTAATTTCGTTTTGAGTTCAGTGTAGCGCGCATAGTTCATTATTTTATTATGTAAATGTGCTGCAATTTCTGCAACTAAATGAAGTGGGTGAAATATAAGGAAAAAACACAAAGTAATTACAATTTCAAGAACATTACTTCAGCTCATTTATAAATTGGCCTTGCATTTCGTGAAAAGAGGCTTAAAATTTGCCCTGCTGTTGATCTTTTAGTTGTCAGTATTACAATTGATATAACTAGAATGAAGAAGTGAAAATCATTAAGCTTTGTTTATGAGTATCAAAATTTCAACGGTTTTCAAAGAGCTAATCAACTTTTCAAGAATGCATAATTAAGGAAAACGACAAGATAAGATAGCATTTTATTACGAAACTGGTTTGAAGCGCAGATAACAAACCTCATAAATGAGATCCCGTCGACAACATTATTAAAAGAAGCTGAGATTGCATCGTGTCGAAAACAAGCTATTGCATTGTGCACATCACTCTGGACCATAAAGTTGAAAGACATTCCTTCGGGAAAGAATATATTTTGGAGGTGAATAAATCGCAAATGTAGTCATAAATAAGAAGTATTCTTGACACCCAGGTTTTCACACTCTGATTGCGTAAGGTGTGTATTTATTCAAGGTGCATGCATTACTTACGACTCCCATATGCGTTTTGACTTTTGTGTTTGTGTTAAAGTCGTTTTAAACTTCCGAGCTGGCTCGTTCCGCCAGAACAATCTACTAAAAACATGTTTTATAAATGAAATTGGTACAAGTTAATTTTGCAACTGTTATTTCGTGTTTCATTGATTATTGAAACCTGTAATTTTCGAACTGCTTGGGATGACTTTACAGCATTGGAATTATTCTTCTTCGTCTTTTTAATACTTATTATATTATGTGTATATCAAGATATACCGCATTAGATCGAGTTTGATGATTAATTGTCATGGCCTGTCAAAAAAATTTAAAAAGTTTTCCAAACGCCATGCCAATATCGCTGATTTTGTGGAAAATTTGTCTAAAAAAATTTGGCATATTAATTGTATACTTCCCTGAGAACGACCCAATTGGTCTTCACTTTACTCCCTGCTATTAGTGATCTAAAGTTTTGACTAAATAATATGGCAAAATTTCAGGGTAGGCTTGTCATCTTTCATGGCAGCTTTGTGACAGTTTTCAATTTCTTTTATTTAACAGCTCAGTTTAGTCAACAATGGCGTCCAATGGGACCAACATTGCAAGCGAAAAAGAAAGTGTGACATTACTACACATAATAATGATAATTCTTTCATTCATAATAATCGTTGTTAATGTGCCAGTTGTGTTGTTGTACCTGAAAATTTCATCATTACGTCACAGTGCTGGGAACACTTTTCTTGTTGGACTGGCAGTGGCAGATATATTATGCGCATGCGTGATGGTACCAACTGCGATCACATGTACCATGAGAGTATTGAGTGATCCTGCCCATCGTTACGTGTGTCTATTTTTCTATGTGAGTAATTTTACCATTACTCTTGCGACAATTTATCACATTGTTGCTGCCACCGCTGCAAAGTATTTTGCGATAGTATATCCAATGCGGAACATAACAGCTTGCACTAAATTTCGAGTGAACTTTATCATCGCCTTCATTTGGGTCGGCTCGTTCCTCGTTGGACATATCCCCTTCTACTATGCGAACATGTCAGATGATGACGTGGTAATAATACATGAAAGACACTCTATATTCATGTTCGTTTGTGCCTTTGCAATCCCCACATTTATCCTGACGTGTGTTCACGTGCATATTTTTATGCGGTTATGCCTCAGCTCACGCCCTAAGGCATTGGTAACCGAGGTCAGAAATACCCGGTCGGAGAATAATTGCCGTATTGCAGTGCTGTTTTTCTTGCTGTTCTTATTCTTCATAATTTCCTGGTTGCCATGGTATCTGCTTTTAAACAACTTTATCGACCCCCCTGAGGTTGTGGCTGATATCCTGACTTCACTCCGATTCCTAGCCCCAGTCTTAAACCCGCTTATGTTCACGTTTGCAAAGCGCGATTTTCGTAAGGCAGCTGTATCACTAGTCAGCAGACTTCGCAGCAAACAACGAGTCTTCTCCAGCAGACGTTCTTATCATACCCAGGCCACGAGCTCGGTCGATCGTACGAATTTTATTGAGCAGCAAAATTTGGAGAGGACAACGAAAATGGAAGTGGAAAAGGAGACAATTGCAAATAATGAACAGGCGGAGAAATAAATCATTTACTTCGCTGGTATATTCAAGGATGTCGATTGAAAGCCTTTCTGCCCCCTTTCATTTTCCGGGATTTCGTCACAATGTGAAGCTTAAATTTATCGTAAAAAATGTTAGCAAGTGAAGATTTAATCTAAGAATTTCCCACTTGCAAATTTTTTGCGTGAAGCGACAATTTTCTCCTGTTTTAGAGCTTCTATCTGCAACCATCTGTAAATTTAGTAAATTGCCCGAAGACGAAGACAGATAATAAAATCGCGTAACACGAAAAAACACTGGGAAACAGACTTTAGTAAACTTTCTTGCATAATACATAAACACAAAGACGTGTCGGTTCATGCTAAAGGAAAGCATAAAAAATATCGAAAATTTGACAGAAGAACTGTTGTCAATAAACAGTGAATATTGGTTTCCTTTACTTCCTTAGTATAATAAATGGTCATATTGTAAAACCGTAGCATGTGACTGCTAGAGTTATGAAGCAGAATCTCTACCAATAACAGCCGAAGAAACTGGTTGAAAGAAACATTATATTATATAATTATTAGTATAGGAATTACCATAACATGGACAATATAATAGCTATTTACAATACTAAAGAAGATAATTTATTTATGGATTGATAAGATTGATAAGATTCATGTTGTGTGTTCCTTGGCTGCAGCTAACATCAAATTATCAAAACGTTGTTCCTTTACGTTTTTGATGATTTCCTAATCATGCTTTCTTCGAAACAAGAGTTTAGTGACTGGCTACTGATTTTTCAGCCATCACCGGCATGAATTCCTTGAATGGTTGACGAGAACGTATCGTCCTCTTCTTGCACGAATGATTCATCCAAAAGTGAGATTTCCTGAGGTGTGACAACCTTGCATGTCGGAAATACTTTGAGAGCCAGAGATGTCATTGCCTTATCATGACGTCGACCAGTTAGATGTTTGATCTGAAATGAAGAAACTTTATGACAACTTTCCATTTACAGTTTTTCACCCTTACGTTGTGTCATTCGCATGTATTTTTATACCTTCATATAATTTCTCTTCCAAAAAAAAATTATTTTAAAACGATCAACCAAATTTTTTAGATTTTGAGAAGAGTTTTGAGAAGATGAGTTTGGAAAGGGTTTGCAGCTTTTGCAACTTGTAATTTTGATATTATTTTACAATATTGCTGTAAGGGTGCAACTGGCAGGCTGTAGATAAATCGATGTGAAATTTGAAAGAAAGGTTTTTGATTGTTGAGCCAGTAAAGTGGAAGCATTCTATCTTCATTGACAATCTCGTGGCCGTAGATTCATTGAAGATGCATTGTAAAGACGTTTTAATACGAAGTCAAAATGGTGTTTTGGTTTTTTGATATCAATGTATCCAATGATGGCCAAAGGTTCCTACCCTTGCTTTTCTATGACCTGACGAATCTGACGAATTATTCTGAGGATCGAAGGTAATTTTATTTACCCATTCGTTTTCATTTGGTAGTTTCAGTTGACATGCTTCGCAGTACCAAACACTTTCGCTTTCTTGGCGAAACTTTCTTCTTAAATGCTTCTTTGAATTCAAATGTTCATCGTACATTTTCAATGACGTACAACTATATTTTGGACACACATTACAGGTCAGTTTTGAACAAACCTCGTACTAAAGAAAAAAATCAATATAAAATAGTCTATTTCGAGATAAAGGCATGATAATCAAGGATCAAATTTGACCAAGAGCTGTATACTATACCCGTGGTTATACCTGTAGCTTCCGTAAACTCTTTTTGGAGTAGTTTTCGTCCGCCATATTTGTATTTATAGATAAACTTCATGTAAGAAACAACGAAATAAATGTGTAAAAATGTCAGCCTTAGCACGAAAAGTTTGACGTTTTTAAACGTCTTACTAAAATAAGAAATGCTTTTCCCATCAGCTCAGTAACTTGTGTCTTTTCGGAAAACCCTCTCTCGGTCATCTCTATTACCAGGAATAAATATTCTCGAGTTGTTAACATTAGGATTATGAAATAATCAGTTTACAGACTGAATGTTTTTTCTGAAATACTAAACCTAAAATTTCTCCTGATTTGCCTCCAGCACACGTCGAGCGAACGCAGTCACGACTTTAAAAAAGCGAAGAGGGGGGCACGAGCTTGTGGATGAAGCCTAGGAAAAGGGGAAAGGAAAAATTTTGAACAAATAGAATCAAGTAGTACTGTAGTAGAATCAATTTTAATGTACACTTGTACATCAAAACATGGATGTATTTACACCAGTGATTTACACCTGTGTGACGTCACATGACATAATTAAACATGCGCGATTAATTAATGACGTCACAATTACGGCTCTGAGAGTCTGAGACTCAACGTCTTTAAACAAATTCTTCTCTTTACGATGTCTGTCTTGTCTGCCAATCATACTGGAATATTTTTGCCTTCATATTCTAGTGAGGTTAGTCTTTTACATCTGTGTATTTCATAGTAAGCTATACTAAGTTATCAATGACAGTTGTACTTCTATTGATCTATTTTGTACGCCAAGTGGCTAGTACTAGTATTATATCCTGACACCTCTTCTTCTTCGGCTGAATTCTATCTGGACACCTCTTATTTCTCGGCCGCATCAAATGAGTTCACTACAGTGCAATGAATATTTCATTCATTTTTCTAAATCTGATTAATAATATTAACATACGAGATAGAATTACATCATAAAGATATAAATCTAAACTTTGTTTTTGTAGAGCATAAAAAAAGCTCGAACGCTGACTCCGTACAAATTTCAAGGCAGGCGATCACCGCCACAGAAGCAATGGACGGAAAATAGAGAGGAGAATCGTACGACAAAAGTAAGGAATTATATAATTTAACTTTAATAATTTGGAGTTTGTTCATACCGGAATCTAATTCTCAGCTAGCAGCGAACCTTCTAAATGCAGCAGTTAAAAACTGACAATCAATCAATCATCGAACTTTATTTTATAGTGTCTATCAGTCTATGTGGGATGAAAACTATTTTATTTTCATTTTATTTTATTTTATTTTCATTTCTAGTTTCTTTCCCCAGGCAGCTGCGATCCTTTGTTAGATTTCATCAACCTCGATGATTTTAAGGACGATGCGAAACTTCAAAGAAACTTTGAAGAAGTCTTAAAGATTCACAAAATGGGTTTCCTTGTGAAGGTGATCGATATGGCTTAAATATTACGAAGGGAAATTGGAAAATTAAACTTTGTTTCTGAATTTTCGTGCAATAAACAGTATGAACAAAGCGAAAAAATATTGTTAAGTATTTTCATTTCACACCTTGTCTTATTTTTATATACATTTGTGAGTAGTCATTGTGATAAGCTGTTTGTTTTGCAATAGTTTGATCGAAAACGAGTAATGCCCTGATACAACCGCAACAAACTTCTAATTATTAGATCGTGAAACAAAGCTGGTTTCCAGGCCTAATATGCATTCCAATTTTCCACTGCCAAAGATGTCTTGCGCTATGGACACAAACAGCCCAGGTTAAGTCGTTATGTTCAGAAATTAACCGAAGTGTCTATGGTCGCCTTCTTCCTGTTAGTGTTACAAAATGCGACTTATTGACGAAACTTCTTAATCGTGATCGGAATATAACATCAGCTCAACCATGTAAGAAGCAGTTCCTTTCCAATAAACCAGTTAGACCTGCAAGGTATTTGGACGAAACTTTTGAAAGGAAAACGACCCGACCAATCCCAATTGCGGAGTTCGTTGATATTGACGAACAATTTAGAAAGTATCAAAAGACAGTCTTACGTGAGCTGAAGGCAAATGAGAAGATTTTGGGTACTCAAAGGCAGATGAACAGTCCAGTTTCTAATTATAAGACAGTCGATGATTTGAAAATTCAAATTGAGGAAAAGTTAGAAAATACATATGATGAGGGAACACATAAGAAAGAAAAGAATTCTGGTGATGAATCTATAGATGAAAAATGCAAATTAAATTCAAGTAAGTGCTCTCTATATATTACCTTGTTTGATGAGTGATGAGTGGTTAACGTATGAATCTTACGAATACTTGTACTTTCCAGCAATGTGTAGTCCTCGAAGCCACGATAAAACATGTGATGTGAAACACAGCAAAGAGAATGGTCTTGTCCAGCCATCGTCGTGCAGAACTACGAGCCAATTACAAGGTGGATTGATGATAACTAGCAACAGTAAGGCCACTAACCAAAATATCAAAACAAAACCAAGAAAAGTTACAAAACTAAAAATTATACCACGGTATATTACGAAGGCTAGGCGGTCAGGTACAAAAACCTGTCCACCAGCAAGTCCTGAGGTGCCGCTAAACGTTGCTTATGAAAAGAAACTAGCAGAATTACGACAGAAAACACTAGCATTTGACAAAGAAGCTTCCAAAGAAGTTGTTTGCAGTAAACTTGAATCAGTCTATGACGATAAACATAACCCTAGTATTATCAATTCTGTTTGGTTCCAATCATTGGTTGAAGAGGCAAACCAACAAGAGGAAGAGATGAAAACATATAAACAAGATTTGACGAGAGCCTTTTGTTTCTCCTATTTTGAACTTTTAAGAAAAACTGAATATAAATAGAAATAGAAAAAAGTAAATTTTGTTGTATGAAAACGTTTAGAATCTTTATGTAATAATTAGAATGACGAAGTTTTTGTAACTGATTTATCAGGCGATTTCGACCATATTCAGACCATTTCGAATTTGCCGTTTATACTATTACATTGAGTATGATGCAATCGAAACTTTGAACGAATCGCCTAAATTATCCGCAAAAGGGTATAAAGCCTGTTTTGCAAACAAAACCTAATCTCATCTAAGCTGTTGTAGTGGCAAATTTTCGAGGGACCATGGAATTTTTTTCCTGCAGAAGAAGGAACGTGGTAATGATAGCTCCCTGTCCCTCCCAGCGTTAACCAATTCTTGCTTGGCTAACTTGGCTTGTGGGGCAGTCCGGCTAGAGTCTATAATACTCACGTATTTTGTGTGCGTATTCAGCGTTTTGATGGGGAGAGGCACAGTCACCTACGCACAATATCGAGACGGCGATGTGCCGCTTATAACCTAGCGTGGGCTCATACTAGATTCGAGAATTGAAGTTTCACTTTTGGCAGGTAAAAAATGGCGGGGAGCAAATTCAATGTGAACATTCAAGGTGGAAGTGGACATATATTTATGGGAGATGGAACGCAAATTGATATAAGAAGTGGAATTGGAAGAGCTGGTACTTAAGATGTGAATTTCACGTGTTTAATAATATAGATACATTGTCCTTTTCTTTCATTTCACACATTAAATGTGTCAACTTCACTGCTCAGTCTTGTTTTAATACAGCATGTATAATATAAATCGATAAAAAAACAACTTCCTCAGAAATGTGTTAGATAAATACGTGTGCCCAAATATTTATAAAGACATTTTAGTAATCCTAGGTTTTTAAATGAATATTTTTAATTGTTTAATTGCTTTGCTTGTACTTTCGTTTCTTTAATTCAAACATTTCTAGTACTTACTCATACAAACTTTTTTCCCTAATGATTCCCATACTTGACCACAAATTTTTTCTCCATTCTGTATGTGGGCCACAGAAATTTAGACTTATACAATTAATATTCTCCCATTTATAGTACACTCTTGGGATTTGGAAATAGTCAATTATCAATATCTATATCTAATTTTTTCAGTTTTGAAATTTACTCTCCTTAACAAATTCCATTCACAATATTTCCCTTCCCTTACACATTTAATCTATAACATTGCTCTTCAGGTGCTTCTTCACCATATTATTCTCTTACTCTTTTTCCCTCAATTTTCACCTTTATTTTACCAAATTTCATTATTTGCAAAATGTATGCCACATTTATTTGCCCTCAAAATGTCTACTGTGACATAGTGTGCAATGGGTTCAAATTAAAATCGTTACAATTTTTTACTGAAAACATAAAATGATGAGAGAAATATTGAAATGAAGGCAGCACCAAAAGCAAGTGTGTGTTGTTGTCTAGATTTTTGCAGGCTGATATTGCCAAAATGTTACCTGCTCTTTGGTTGTTCTGTATTAAAATTTTTATTAAACAATTCTAAAAGCAAGTATTGGAGATGTAAGGGCAGAGATGCGAATGATTATTCATCATCATTATCTTTTATGTTCATCAGGATCCAGGCAGAGACCACATATCAACATCCAACCAAGAGATCCAGGTATTACATCAATATTTATATTAACTATATGTATTGCAATTTCAAAGAATAATGTCAGTAACATTTCATAATTTGTTTAATTTAGGATTTGCTGTTCATCCTAAACCTCAAGAAACATCAGGTATTTGTTATCAGGTCTATATATTATCTTTTCATAATTTATCATTCTCAAAATTTATTGCTCATTGCTCTACGATCTTATGAGAATCTGAGTCTGGGAAAGGATTGACAAGTTTGAAATATAATCATATTATCTATTATCAAACCTTTTGTATTCAATGTCATCACTTCTCGGTTCCAGTCTGAGAACTTAAATATTCTTTACACAAATCATAAATATATATTATTGTTTCATAGTCCATCGCCAGGAAACTACTGGGAACGCATTACCAGTGACATACAAAATACAACAAGGCTTTGCTTTGATAATTCACAATCATTACTTTCCCAAAAGACAAGATTGCAATCGAGAGGGTTCAGAAAAAGATGTAGAAGCTATTCAAAAGTTTTGTGAATATGCTGGCATTGATGTAAACAAGACTAGCAGATCAACAGAAAACCTTAAGGCTACTGAAATAGATAGCCTTTGTGATGAGATAGCCCAACGGGATTTCACTCGTTATGATGGATTTCTTTGCTTCATATTAAGCCATGGTGACGAGGATGGAATATTTGGTGTAGATGATAACACTATCAGTGTTCAAGATATGGTTACAAAATTCAAGAAATGTCTTACCTTGGTTGGGAAGCCTAAGTTGTTTTTTATCCAAGCATGCAGAGGAAGCCATAAAGATAGTGGAATGTTCATTGACTCTGACAGTCATCCTGTGAACAAGCCTAATCCATTACGATTGCCAACTGATTCAGATATCCTTATTGCTCACTCAACTGTCGAAGGTCTTGAGTCGTACAGATGTCGTAAGACTGGGTCATGGTTTATTATAACCCTAATGCAACAGCTTGAAATGCATGCCCATCACATGCATTTGATGGATATTTTGACACTTGTTAACAATCTCATGGCAGGGTTTGAAACAGATAATGATTTGAAACAAATGTCATGTCAAATGACCACACTTACAAAGTTTGTGTATTTTCATTACCCTGCACCAATTCCAAGCCCACCTTGACACATTTTTAGGTCATACGGATTTTTAAGTCATAGTATAAGTTATAGTCTGCAAACTCTTTAAAGAGTAAACTTTAACATCTATTGTACTAAATTTGTTGAAATGCTTCATGTGTCTATAAATCTCTTATATATCTTTATTCAGAAATTTAAATAATTATTAATGTCATCATAAGTAATTGGGTCATTAATGTAAAAAGCACATATTAGACAGTAGACATATCTGCATGGACTTGACTTCTTAATAATCATTAATCCACAATTTAATCAGGTTTGCTTCTCTTTGTTTGGCCTAAAAATAGCAACTGGAAGAGTATGCAAATTAAAGGCTTACAGCTGTAAATATATTATACTGAATATGTAATATCTGTGATTATTATTAAAATATATATGGTGCCAAACTAGGTTGTGGACTACTGTTGCTGAATAAGGAATTAAATAGAGGCCTAGCTTGCTCTGTTCACAAGTGCTTGCATTTTAGTTCTGCTCAGGTTCTCGGTCAGATGGTCACCCTAGCAAGACCTTTTAGAAGCAGAAGTGCAAACTTTGCCTTTGTTCCCTTGCCAATTAAAGGGGGCTTGGTACAAGAGAACGAATAAGAGAAAACTGTGCCTGTGGAGATGTGCCTCTATTTTGGTTTAGCTAGTGAGCGCCAAATTACTCTCCAAAGACCAGGGGCCGGTTGTTCAAAAGCAGGTTAAATTTAACCCTGGGTTAGGCATTTTTAACCCTGGGTTAGCGTTAACCGGCTTTTGAACAACCGGCCCCTGTATATTAACCAGGTAGTTTCAATCTCAATTACTATTGTTCTAGTGAGTTGTATTATAAGTAACTAATTTACCTAATTAGAAGTTTTAGAATTCACTTTACTCAAATAGACCTTTTTCATAATGACGTCAAACGCAGAAAGTCTGATCTTACACGAAATTTGATTAGCTCGATAGTTTTGTGGAGCCAATCAAATTCCGTGTATCATCAGACTTTCCGCGTTTGACGTCATTATTAGAAAGGTCTATTAAGAAGTCGAAGAGCTACTGAGCCTGCATTTTACAGTCGTGGGTCTCGAGGACGGTGAACTTCATTTAGCGTCGGAGTTTTATATCTTTGTAAATGGCAAAAGGAAGATATCCATTCCGAAGGACTGTGGAGTTTTTATCTAGTGGTAAAGTTGTACTAAAACCTAATGTAAAAGCTGTCGAGATATCTTACTCGCATCGAGAGAACAGTAAAGGAGTTAGGTGAGATTTACGTCCTTCAATATACCTAGATCTTTCTAGTAGGACCAGTACGGATTACGGATTGGTCGCTGACATATTAAAATCCAGATATCTTTCTTTAGTCAATTAATAGTTGGCAAGAGTCAGAACAAGTGTTTTAGGATGGATGTATTCTTTGATCCTGTTAAATTTTAAACACATTTTATGATTGGCTGTCACACTTTGTGGCGTAAAGTAGGATATATTTAGCCCTAACAGTTCCACCTCAACCTTTACTCCCTCTTCATTCCTCTTTATCCCATTCTTTATTCCCCTTTTTAGCCTTAAAAATGCAATTTTGTAGTATTTCTTTCATTTAGGAATTTTATATTTAAAGATGTTCCCCAGTTGCAATACAAAAATCCTGATGTTCAGTTTGTAATAAGCAAAGGTGCTGCTGTTAGTTCACCCAACATCAACATATTTCTTGGTTTGTTTACATCAGTTTATTGGTTTTTGTACAAATATTATTCTGAAATTCATCCACAATTATTGTTAATCTACTTGTGAACTATGGATATATAATTTAAGAGAATTGTTCTCTTTTAGGTAAAAATGAGAAAATCAATATAGATGTTGATAGCTCTAAAGCAAGTGAAATCTTTTCAATGTTTCAACATGTTGCTGCTGCTTCCGAAAGGTTGGGTTTTAATACATGGTAAACAGGTGTGAATTAATTAAGACACTTATCTCAAGTTTCTGCACTATCATAGTGAGATGAGAGAAATAGTTGGAAAACAACCAAAATACCCAGCAAGATTAAACAAAAGTAATTTTGGAAGGTTTGGACATTGTTATTGTATTTGTGAGAAACCTGGTCAAGTTGGGTGTCCATCAAAGACTGCTTTACCAGGTGCTAATAAACCAAAATGGTGGCAGGTAAAGAGTGAAGAGAGTTCTTAATGAATAAATGGAGATAAATACAGCAGACATCTTTTAAAGCCCCTATAGAATGTCTATATGATAGATGCATGTTGGTATTTATATACACAATAATACTTTGATATGTTCAAAATCAATTTTTCATTCCATGCAAATTCAGAAGTTGGATATGAATAAGAATTTTGTTTACATTTACACATGTTTTCATCCTGTGCATTTTTTCATCATGTTTTTACGCATGTTTTCATCGCAAGAGCCTAAGAACAGATGATTCCACCATAGCAGGATGAAAGCAGGATCTCAAGACACTTGTCATCTTCTGATTCGTTTATTATATTCAATTTGTAATTCATTCAAATTTCTTTCTAATGACCTCACTTCATCATATTGTCCATTCTCCCTGGCTTTATCAAGAAAATCTTTTACATTGTTTATTTGTTCTGAAAGTGTATTAACTTCAGGATCAAATGAATATCGCCTTTGTCCTGCATACATTTCATGGCGTCTAATAGCAGGAGAGCTTGGTAGAGAATCTCTTGCTTTTCTTAAAACCTCCTTGTGCATCATTGCTCTTTCTTTCATTGCTTTCTCCTGCTGAGCTTTCTCACGTTCTGCTCGTTTTTTCAAAAGCATAGCTCTCTCTTGTCGAAGGGAGGCATATTCTTCTTCTGATGGAATTGATTTTAATGTAAACATATTGTTTTGTAAGTAATTTGCTATATAAGAGTGCACCCCACGGTGAAGTTTTTGGGATGATTTTCCAGGACTTTCTGTCTTGGTTGTACCATCTTCAGATGTTGTTGTTGTGTATCCAAGAGCAAGTACTTTTTTACTACAAGAAATATAATATACATGTACATATATAATGGTGCATTTGCAAGTGCTTCTGCTTTTGCAGCCAATGCACCAGACTCTCAGAGGCTTTGATTTAAAGTGTATAATGAAGAATGGGAAAGCAAGGGGGCAAGAATATTAATATGTTTAAATGACAACTTTTATTTGTTTTACTAAATTACAATTTTAATCATACCCAACAACTTCTAGTGACTCGTACATCTTGAGTAACTTCAGTCTTGTAGTGACAACCTCTTGGTATGTATACCGCGTATCACCAAAACTAAAAAATTAACCAAATTTTCAACAAGAGGGCACCTTACTCTGAACAGCATATCTTAGGAGAATATTATGTACATCTGATTGTCACCTTAGTGATTCTGCCATCCTGTTGAAGTCTGGTAAAAGAAGGTCTGCATCTGCCATTAAAATTGTGAGTTTCTATGAAAGAAATGTGAGTTTTTAGTTAAACAGTGTCAGGAATTTAGTCCATTGCTGGATCCTACCTCGTAAAGCTGAACCAATGGTATCTTTTTCTTCTTCTGTCGCTCTACTTCATAATTTCTAAAAATGCATTTGTAATTGTGACTTCAAATGTCTAGCCACTGCTGACTGATGTAGCAACAATGGGATATGTACTTACTTGAGAAGCAAGTCATGACATTGGTAACAAATGCGTAGTGCACTTTTTTCACTAGCCTCATTGTCATCCAAACTTAAAATGACATCTTGGGCTCCATCCATTTCACAAAATATAGCTAAGCATAATAATAATAAATTATGATGGTTATCAAAATACAACAGACACAGAAGAAGAAAGGGGAGGGGGGTATTAAATTACCTGCTGAACTAAGTGGTAGAAATTCTGAACATTTGCCACAAATCACCTGACCACATAATCTACAATGATGTTTTCTTCTTGAAATTGTAAACGTTTTCTTGCAACCAAAACATAACTTTGCATCATCATCTGATTTCCATGGTACCATACTCTTCTCCTTGGCTTAAAATTGTAATCACTCTTAATGGAGTTGGCTCACAGCATACAGTTACATTGGAAAGTTTGGAATAAAATATTTAATATGTTTTTTGATAAATATATTCACCTTTCTTTTTCGAATTGCTCAATGAATTCGATTCTTGGGCATCAGTCAAGGCATTTAGAATCTAAAAATATGGTGAGGTTATTTTTCTTCTCATTCAACTGGTAAATCTTATTTATTTCTGCTGGGTAAGATTATTTTAAAAAAACTATACTTTTCACCTTGTCTGCTTACCTTCTGAAGTCTAATTAGAATTGTGTTTGTTTCAATCATGTCATCATTAATCGTCCGTGTTCTGGCCCTCCGGAACTCATTTGTATGATCTTGTGTAAATCCTGAAGCATAAGATGCAAGAATGCATATTAAATTATGTAAGATGTTATTACTGTACCTAATCATGCATCGTATTGCATTGGTTGGCCGTGTTAAAACAGCTGACAACCGCTATAATTTATCTCTTGTTGTTGTTCATTCTCAGGGTGGAAACTGCAAAATGTTTGTGAATCCCCGATCAGGTGAGGTCACGTCGTACGGGAGAAATGTCAATATTTCACAATAGTCAATGTTTTCCTACCAATCTCTTGCGGCTCCCAGTAAAAGAAATCAAGTTCATTTTCAACAGTCGTGACTTGCAGCTCTTCTTTTTTTTCATAGCCACTTGGTTGAAGGCCTTCTTCGCCTTTCCCTAATATTATACGCTTTGCTTTATCAAAAATTCCTTTGATATTTTGCCCCTTCGACGCATCGTCCAGAGAATGTTCGTCAATAAAATGTGTTTCTAATAACTTTTGACTCCTAAGATCTTTCATACATAAGGGACAAAGAAAACCTTCCTGAACTTCGTTTGATTCTTCCATTTTAAATGGGTTCTTTGTGAAGAAACCGTAGATGGCAGAAAAACCATTTTTTTATTGTTATTATTAAGCCATTTTGGAACAGGTTCCCGGGTTCCGGTGATCCACATAAACCAGTCTCGGTTAGTCCAACTGTCCAAAGCCGCTCAACCAAAAGTTTTGCTATGACAGGAATTTGCAAATGAAATTATCGAACAGCATATTCATCAAGTTGATTGACGAAATTTTGTAAAAATACAAAGAATTTAGCACTAAAAACTACACAAATACTCAATGTAAACATGGCTAATTTTGGGTTGCATAATTATTTAGTTAGACTCTGAACCACATCAGTGCTCTGAACAATATATGCATCTGCCTTAAAATCAAAACTTGTATCAGGTGTATTTACGTGTTTAATGGATTACAACGAGAAGAATACTGATCTTCAGAAATAACTTCAGAAATATGCGTAGACATGTACGTTGGGCGCACCTATTTGTTTGTCGAAGAAACTGGCAAAAGAACGTCGAAACAGTTAAAGTACCGGAGCTCCGGTACACAACAAGCTGCGTAGGAATTTATACAAATATTGGAAATATGGCAAACGATTTATTTGATGTCTCGTCTAGATTTTGTTCTCATTATGTTAGGAAATGTGCCTTGATTGCTCCCTGTTGTAATAAAATATATCGTTGTAGACTTTGCCATAATGCTATGGAAAATGACCACGAATTAGATAGAAAAATTGTGGAGAGAATAAAATGTTTACAATGCGGCAGAATCCAAAGTGTTGCTCCCAAGTGCAGCTCTTGTTCTATAACGTTTGGCTTATATTATTGTGAGACTTGCCGGTTATTCGATGACAACAATAAAGGACAGTTTCACTGTGTGCAATGTGGGTTATGTCGAGTTGGTGGAAGAGAAAATTATAAACACTGTAATCCATGTGGAATTTGCTTCAAAATTGGATCAACACATAAATGCATTGAAAAGTGCTCAAGTTCTGACTGCCCAATATGTCTGGAGGATCTACACTCTCATGGTGAATGCCAGAAGCTGAATTGTGGACATTTAATGCATGTGACTTGTTTAAGACAACTATGCCAGAATTTCAAACAGATTTGTCCATTGTGTGCTGCAAGATTTTGATTGGTTTTGCTTCATTTACATCATAATTCAGTAAATTAGGGAATGTAGTTTTATTTTTGATATAATTGATGGACCATTTTTTTATACACAATGTTTCAGGATAGTGTTTTGTAATGTGGTTTTGTGACCAAATAGTACTAGACACTCTTCCCAAACCTTGCAGTGTGCAATAATGATAGTTTGATCATAATCAGTTTATCTTCCCAAGGTTGTATGAATGGTTGTATGCTAGGCTATGGTCGGGTAGGGGGGGGGGGTTAGTTATAATTTAGATTATGGATCAGGTCAACAATTAGCCATAGACTTCGTCCTGATAAAATTAAAATGCATAAGATGACTTGTAGTAAGACCTGTTTTTTATTGCAATTGAATTTGTAGGAAATATTTAATGTATGTATAAATAATGTATTTAATTGTAATTTAATTGTAGGAACTGATTTCAAATGATACATTTTTCATTTTTACTAATGCTATATTTTGAGATGTATCATGCAAATTAATGAATGTACACCAGGGTCAGAGTTATACATAATTATAACACAGGTGATGTGGTTAGTATCCTTGTAACCAAGTATTTCTTGGTTGCAAATGTAATAACAATGTTATTAGATATATTTCTGTAAAAAAAATTGTGGACATGAAGTAAATATTTTAAAATGCCATTGTTATTAAATATCGTCACTATGGAAACCTGATAAATACAATATGGCGGTCGAAAGACTTGTTTTCAAAAATCGCACAAAATGACGGCTTTAAAGAACTGCAGCGCAGAACTTCGGAAATATCTGTTCGAGCACAAGCTTCCACAAGTTTTTGAGGTATTGTATCTGGGATTTTCTATAAAATGTGCGTCCAATTTTACGATTAATCAAAATATTTTGTTAAATTTTTTCAGGCACTTTTGACAGGCCTTGCTATAGAATGTCCCTCTGATGCCTGTGCATTTGTTGTCGATAAACTTGCATTGTTAAATAGCGATCAAAACGCTTTTGAAAATTTGCAATGGTATGAAAAATAGTGTTTTATTATCTAATATTCCTTAGCAGTAAAATATGCAGCGTTACAATGAAGTAAATGGCTAGTCAATTATAATCATGTCATTGACGAGGGCATTTATCATGAGCAAGATCATAAATAACCCAGAGACATGCATATGTTTGTAAGAAATATTGGTAGGAAAATGTTTATTAGCAATATCACCACTATGAAGGCTGCTCACCTGGGTATGAGGTTGGGCCTCTCACAGTCTCACACTATATCTCATTAGTAATTAATCTCACAGTCGAGCATTGTCTGATTGTCCTCTAATTATTCATTTTAGGGATTCTTTTATAAGTGCAGAAAAAAAGCCAAAAGACCATTTATTGAAGAAAGGATTTGGAGAGGTTTTGTGGTGTTATGAGGATGAAAATTCTCAGGTAAAGTTAATATCAGAGAACATTGAGATATATGCACAGCTAGATTTGATCGAGCAGCTTTGTTTAAAAAATATGCATATATAGTCACACTAACTACCTATTTCCATCAAGGTGATGCAACATGGATGTTATGGAAGAAGATTTCTGCATTCCTTAATTCTTGCTGAAGAATTTTTATTTTTTTCAATAGCCAACACCAGAGATGTACCAACGAGCGTACAGTGTATATAACTACAAACTAAAGCTAATGTGTCTTCAGTAAGTTCTATTTAGTAATGTGTTGCTGTAAAAATATATGGATCGAAGGGTTGAAAGGTTTTCCATATGAAAAAATAAGTTGAAAAATGTACTGTAATTTAATTTGAAATGTTGTATTTCAGAGGCTGGAAACATTTTCATGCAATAAAAAAAATGAAGAAGAAAAATTTAGAAATTAAGATGAATAATGCTCGAAATTATCACAGAAGAAGAAAATTGAGGGTTCATTTTATGGCTTATTTGGTATCCTTATTTGATATTTCAATGCATGGTATCTATTATGATACCATTTAATTGACTTATGAATTATATTAAACATATTTATTGACAATTGATTACATATTACTGAATATATATAAATCTGTTGATTTCATATGTGATTGACCTTAACATTGACATAATAGAACTGGTTTAGGGATCTAAAGAACTTGCAGAGAGGTAAAATACACATACTGTTCTTTAATGGGTTAACTCTTGTGGGATTGATAGCCTGGGTGGGCATTACTGACAATTAAGGTACCTATATGTATTTCTGACGACCAGGATAGGCACTACTGGAAACAAAGGAAGCTAGTAATTACTGACAAACTAAATTGTATTAAACCTAAGTACAAACTAAGTACAGCATCAACATTCTATTATAACAAATAACTGATAATTTGAAATAGCAATGGGTCATATTTTTGCAATGTTCAATTTTTAGTGTGTTAGCTCATGCACTCTTATACTGCATGATGTTCATAGCTGCTACCATCTTTTAGAAATCTCAGCAAAGATAAAGAAAGTTGTCAGAATGTCTCTGCTACGATTGGTGTTCATGGGATGGCGTACTGTTGTTGCTGATGCAAAGAAAACAAAAGAATATTTTGAGGCAAGTTGATTAAAACTATGAATACATTTTATCCTTGGTTCCACCTGAGTTGAACCTGGTTTCATGCTAAGATGAAATCATATTTCTTGACAGTAATACTTAGGTAGAAATATTAACTTCAATTCAAAAGAAAATGTGACCATGATGTTAAACACAGATCGATTCAGTCCTCTCCAATTTTAACATTGTTGTGAAAATGAAACAAACAGTAGACTTGTACAAGTATCTGGGAAGCCCTTAGAGGGCTGTAAAGCATCGCACTTCTGATATATCTGATTACCTTAACCTCTTTAGAGAATTGAGAGAGGGGAAGTAATAGATACTGGAGAATATAAAGACTTTTTTATGACATCAGAAGATGGAAAAGATGTGATATCATCCTTGCCTAAACATGCTGCGTTACTGGTATGATTCTAGTTCTTCATTAATTATTACAAATATATGATTTTATGTATTACAAATAACAGTTTATAGTTTACTAAACGAATAATGGAATGGATTGTCATTGAGCCAGACAACTGTCAAACATCCTCAAAGTAAGGCTGTAAGGGCCGTTAGCCTGGGGAGGAGGTCAGTAACCAGGGCTGAAACTAGTTGCGATAATTGGGGGTGGGGGGCTAAAGATTCATATATTCTGTTCTTCCCTACGAATTTCATTTGAGAACGCATGTAAAATTTTACATCAGAGACCTCAGAAAAAAATTTGCTACTGCGATGATTCGACTTCAGTTAATACATACGCTCCTGCACGGCGCACGCTTATGCAATGACCCACTTTTACTTCATGAATATAAATCTGAATTCAAATTATTTGAAGCTGATATATACGCTTCTAAAAGTGTCCCAGCGTCTCCTCTTTACCATTCATATAATTGCATGGAAAAAATATTTTTGTATACAGTGTCTGGAATAGCGTTTTTTAAACGTTAGCCATTTTTCGATCAGTCTCAATACTTATAAAGGGCAAACACAGATCATGAATTTTCGGTTAAATTTTAAAACTGAAGACGTTCTGCTGTTGCACTGTAGATATTCAGCAACGTGGATATTCAGGACCTTGGAAGATGTGCGTCAGTTAGTCGTTCTTGGAAACTTATCATCCAGTCAAACCTATTATGGAGTAAAATGGATTTTACCAAGATGAAATATAGGTAATTATATAGCTGTGTCTCCGTCATCACTTTCACTGACTTCTCTCAACTCTTACCAGCCTCCATAAGGCACAATCATACGAGTGACGTGATGTAAATGAAATTGTTAAGTGAATCAGATGAAACAGAGGAAATACCGAATGTGATAAATCTCTTATAGATTAACAAACAAGATTACTTCAAGATTAGTTCATAGATATCGTTCCGTGTTGGGACATTTAAACTTACGGGGCTGTTGTAATCTTACTCAAGGAAGCCTTAAAATTATCGGTCAGTTCATATTTTCGCTCTTACCTAGTTATCTCATGTTGTTTGTGGCACAGACGTTCACATATTCAATGTGTTTATATACTGTAGGGGAATCCAAGAATCTTCAGGATCTTAATGTTTCAGAATGTATTGGGATCAGTGTATGTATTTATCCTTATTTCTTTCAAATGAGGTGCCTCTCTAAAGCTGCAGATACACGGGCGATTTTTTGCCAGCTCTTTCTGGCGTATGTTATTGAGTGAATTATGTACAAAGTGTCTATATAAGCTTCGCAAAGTTATCAACTGTCATCTACTGTATTTAATTTACTCAATATCATACACCATAATGAGAAAATCGCCGTAAAAATCGTCTGTTTGGGCTTTTAGCCGAGACTTAAGAGTGTTGAGTGTAGGATAAATCTTTAATCTCACAACTCAGTTAATTGAGAAATGGCCAGGTCAAAATAATGTAAACTTGTGCTGCTTATATTCATACATCTTTTGGGAAACTTTTTTTTGCGAAATGACTCGATCGCAAAAGCTTATATTTATAATTTTTTTGCGAAACTCAAGTGATAGCGTGGTGCATGTATCTTATACTCTCATCTGACAAAGAATGTTTACTCTAAAAAATGAATATTCTTTCTCAAGACAATTTTATTACGTATTTTAGGATGATGTAATGAAGAGCATTGCAACTGGTTGTTCGTCACTTTTATATCTCAATTTATCTCGTTGTAATATTTCAGACGCGACGTTACGTTTATTAGCAAGGTAAAATACTCTAGTCTTGACTAGTGTCGTGAGGGGGGAGTAATTACCCCTGGGGAAACTGGAATTCAAGCTTCTGCCTGGCAGAGGGGAGGGATGCAGCTAGAGGGCAAAACTACCAAAACTGTCTGTTTGTTATCCACTCTTTAGTTGTCTTTTTTCTATCCTTTGTTGTCCTCTTGTTGCCCTTTGTTGTCCTTTTGTTACCCTTTAGTTTGATGGATGATAATGCTCATATCTCATTGACGCATTCTTAGTAAAATATTATTTTAAATAGGAACTGTGTGAATCTTCAATATCTAAGTCTATCTGGATGTCTTGGTTTTACGGACAAGGGCCTTAGTTATATATCACACGGGAAAGGTGCCAGGAAACTATCATATTTGGATCTGTCTGCTTGCGAGCAGGTATGTTTTAGCTTCTTGTCAGTTTCCGAGACGGAACTATAATCCTGGGCGAGGGATGCATGCAGCAAGAGCCAGATGTAGGGAACAGCAACAGGATGAGAGGAAGGCCTGGGTGCCAGGGTAGTCTATTTTTACATCAGGTCGAGGTTACATTTGGCACTAATCTTCTTGACCTTAACATGCTTCACAATCTCGTGTCAGTTAACTGATCTTGATTCATCTTTTCCGCTCTTCTGTCTTCCCCATATCATCTTTTGAGCTGGTTAACGCCGGTGCGTGTATGCAGTAGTTTCTCTTTGGTTCAGTAGAACTCATCCTAACTATGAAGCTCAAGGCTTTATTCTCCATTCTTTAATACAATTCACAATACTGACATAACTCTTTCTGTGAAGTGAGTAAGTTTGAAGTTCTCGCCGTCTTTGTGTTGTTGTTGTTGTACAAAGTCACAAGATCTCAACTATTATACGAAATGCGATGATCATATTGTGACGTTTGTTGTTGTTTTTTTTAGGTCACAGAACATGGGTTCATGCATATATCCATCGGTTTTTTATCATTATCCACTCTCATACTGAATGATCTACCTTCTCTTCACGATGATCATCTTAAGGTATTTTCATTAAGACAAAATGACAAGCTTGATTATAAGCTGATAATAGCACTAGCAGTTCTAACCTGTTCTATACATAGATCAGCATTTGCCATCCTCTATTACGCTTGCATTGATCGCAGTTACCTGCATGAAGGAAGAAGAAAATCTTAAACGAAACGCATTTAAAAATATACGATCGAAGTTTTTATTACACAGAAAACTTCTTTATAACATATTCAAACTCCATCGCATTTATTTTTATTTTTAGATGTTAACAGATAAATGTAACTCACTTAAAACAATTTCAATTCTTAAATCTCCGTTAATCTCCGACACTGGCATGAAGTATTTCGTTACCTTTCGTCGCTTACAGAAAATCCAAATAGAGGGTAAGACTGCATGTGTTCAATTTGTTGAGGGTATTTGTGTTGGGTACATGACAGATGTTGGTCGTGGCTTAGTTTTGTTTGCTGTTCACGATCAAAATCGGCTACAAAATGCGTCCGGCTTATTTCATGTTGTGTATATTTTAGGTAATCATCGTATAACAGACTCCTCAATAAAAGCCATCGCTAAAAGTTGTCCAGATTTAAGACACGTCTACATCGCAGATTGTCCTCGTCTCACTGATCTTTCTTTGAAAGCGCTATCCTCGTGCAAACATTTGATTGTGTTAAACATGGCCGATTGTGTGAGGTATGCTTTGTCAGTGCCCATCGCTTTATAGCAAAATGTGACAGTACGTGTATCTTAATTAATCGCTTTCTAAACTAAAGATATTTTATTTAGAATTCAGGACGCTGGTGTACGTCAAGTGGTCGAAGGACCTTCTGGAGCCAAACTTAGAGAAATCAATCTAACGAATTGTGTCAGAGTCAGTGATGTTACTCTTTTGAGGATTGCGCAGAGGTAAGGATCCCCAGGATCCCCAGGATCCCGGAGCAATGTTAAAGCAAGCTTAGAAAGATATCGTGAGGGATCACTTTTGCACATACGATTTTGCATAGTTTCGAATCTGTAACTAAATACAACCCAGCATGCCATAGTCAATACAATAGAAAACAAAAAAAGGGCATTTCTCTTCCTAAGTACAGTAATAACGACTGATTTAACAGCAATAACAGAATTCTTTAATTAATTAATGATTTTGATAACCTCCATTTTACTTTGTTGTTTTTCAGATGTCACAATCTGACATATTGCAGTATATGTTACTGTGAACACGTGACTGATGCGGGACTAGAGTTACTGGCCACCCTCCCCTCCCTGGTATCTCTTGATATCTCAGGATGTAATGTTCAGGATCATGGCGTGTCATCACTTGGAAATAGTTCAAGATTAAGAGATATCACTTTGTCAGAATGTCAGACTATAACAGATATAGGATTACAGGTCAAGATCAATAAATCATTAAGTGATTAATCATCAACTAATCCTTATTCCAGGATATTACTGTAGTGCAACTGTACACCGTAATCCTAAACCTTATACTTTCTTCCTTCGTTCTGATTAACACACGCCTGGATAACAAGATTAAATTAGGATAGCGTTATCCATTTAGTGTTAGGATCCGGAAATGACGTCAACCACAAGACTACTTTCATCCCTTGCCTAAACTCCATTACTTCACGTAAAAAAGTTAATAATTGTTTCTTTCATCGCAGAAAATGTTCCAGCAGTGTCGGTATTTAGAGAATCTAGATTTATCTCACTGTGCAGTAAGTATGCCTGTGTTCTCATTTTTTGTTTATTAAGTAACAAAACTCACTTTTTTTTCTCTCGATGAACAGAACATCACGGATTATGGGATAAAGAATTTAGCATTTTGCTGTCGTCTTCTAAGAACCCTCAATCTGTCAGGTTGTAAAAAGGTAAAGATATGTTTGAGTAAAATTCGTTCAATTCAGTTTCTTCCAAGTTGATAAAAACTGGACTGAACAATATGGCTGTTGTCAAGTTGCAGCAACCTAAAGGTCTGTTCACACGATCCAATTCTGTCGGATATAATGTGAATGAACAATTTTCGTTTTTAGCTAACAGACTCCAGTGTGCAGTATTTAGCTGGTGTATGTCATTATATTGACAATCTCAATCTTTCTGGATGCATATTATTAACGTGAGTTTTCACCTACCTGCAGTAAATGTTAGTCATCATGATAAACAGTGTTGTATAGTCGTGTTTGTTCTGTTTTGATTTAAAGGGATCGATCACTGAGATTTGTCAGAAAAGGCTTAAAGCATTTGAAGTCGTTAAACGTTTTGTATTGTTGTAACATCACCAAGTAAGTTAGGGATTATGATGGATTTTACGGGAATTGTACTGGATATGCATCTAGTGATAATGAGGATTGTGAGGGGGTAATGATATTGCTGCCGATGATCGTTATGATGAAGAATTGTTGGCAATAATGATTGGATTTGAGATGATGATGGTGGTGATAGTTGTAAAGATTAGTGATGAATATTTAAACAATCTCTCTTTGTTAACAGAGCGTCAGTAAAGAAATTAATGACAAGAGTTGCTCATATACTACACAGCAATGAAGAGACTCCAACACTGATTAACTCAATAATTGATCCAAAGATACATTCATACAAGCCTTCTTCAGTGCTTCTTGCAACTTGAGATAAATCTCTTTGGTAACAATAAATCATTGTAAGTAAAGATTTTATTTAAACCAAAACATCTACGAAGATATATTTAAAGGTATAAAGTTATTATATTTTTTTAATACATCATGATATTGCTTTTTTGGCCCTAATGGCTTACCCAGGTGAAAATCAGTCCCAGTTATCGTGAGAAACGCTGTTCTGTCAGCCTAGTCTCTCGGCCTCATTGCGCGTGTTTTATATTTCCGTAACGTCGCCGAATAAAACTCTCTCAGGAGTTGGCCTGCATATTAATGAGATCGCGTGTATTAAGGAACGTATAAGAGGCCTAGAGACTAGCCTGCTGTTCTGTGTATATAAGTTGTAAAAAAGACTAACACAATCCTTTTTTGGTCAATTAAAGCTTTAAGCCCACTTGACCCTATGCCTGTGTTAAACAGCAATATACACACGAACACAATTCAAACGTCGTTTACTGATATAAAAAGTAAATAAGTGAGAACCAATATTATTAATAAGTAGATAAGTTAATGTTCCGTCTTTAAGATGTTTTTACAACCGGTGCCCGAACGATAACCCCGCAGGCAATTCTTGCTCCAGCATTCCCGGTTGTTAAGCTGCCTATATCACCGCCCCTTCCTAAATCATCTCTAAGTGCATGAAGCTAGAAAAAACAAATAAAAATTGGATTTTTTTCGTCAAATCGCAGTAGAAAAACACTATAATCTGCAGTGTATATACTTCATGTTACCTACCACGAAAGATCGTCCGAGGACGTTGTAATCTCCAACCAGAGATACCATAAAATCACGTTTAACCACCTTAACAGTGCCATCTTCGTCGGCATAGACATTTCCTAAATCCCCAACATGCCTGCGGAAGATATGAAATTATAATTAATTATTGAAACTCTTGTCTCCTAACCTGAAAACATTATCACTCCAGTTTACTCGCCTTATTTTATCCGACTGTGCCCCGTGAGTTTTGTTGAATGGATTGTAATGTCCCCCAGTACTTGTACAACCTGCCAGAATTATTTTCATGGATGAAAAGTTATCTCACAGTTTCTTTCACTCTATAAAAACAACTTGCGCACGCAGTTCTATTTTACCTGACGTTATAATATCCCCAAATTCATGAACATGAAAACCATGTACAGAGTTTGGTGGAAGGCCAGTAATGTGAATCCTCATATACGTTGCATTTCCCAGCTGAAGCGAAAAGAAAACATGTATGATGAGATGAGATGAGATGAGATGAGATGAGAGATATCTCTCTATAACACCTGTTTTTTCACAAACGCAACAACTGCTGCTTGTAGTTAAGATTATGTTTCTCCAATACTACCAGTGCTATGCTTTTTCGTCCAACTATTAATGTTTAATAAAAGGATTCTTTGCAGTGATCTACTAGATCTAGGTTAAAACTATGATTGGAAGGAAGTAGCCATCGCCAGTGAGAATACGGTCCAGGCAAACAGCTTGCATGGCACTACTTACCACGTTCCCTATTTGAACGACTTCCACTGTGCCCTCTACGAGACTTCGAGGTCCAGTATTACCAGGAAGTAGAATACTTGTTGCCCTGTGAACCTCTGCAAGAAAACAGATTCAAACATATCCATAACTCAGGACGCTATATTTCGGGGAGAGTCATCGCATCTGGATTACCAAATCGCTCATCCTAATCATTATACAAACTATCCGTATACGTTGTATTATTCGTCGATGGCGTCAAATATTTACTGCTAAAGGTTATCGGTATACCCTTGAACGCATCCAACCCGTGCCAGTTAGTGTCAACTTCAGCAATCATGCACTTTGGCCATGGTGATAAGGCCTGATGATGAGAGAGAGTGATAAAATAAAACTTAATTCAACGCGCTCTCCTCTCAGCAGATTTGCTCATTTCCAAGAAAGGCGTGCAGCTGGTTTTTCGCGACAATAGAGAAACGAAGATTTTCACCGGGTTCTTAATTAATCCTTAATTTATGGCAGTATGTTGGAACGCGCCTAATTTAAGTAAAATTTTACTTTTCCTGCAAGTAGAATATTCATCGAGTGCAAGCGTGCTGTCAGTCATTGGTTGAGATTTTATTAAAATCCCTGAATGAATGTGAATACATTCAGTATTAAATATCAAATAACATTCAGTATTAAATGTCGCGATTTTTCTATGTGTAGAAAAGAAATACACTCAATAAGCAAGACCCCCTTGAGAGAATACTCAAGATCGCGAAAACCTTCTGGTCTAAATATCTGCTTCATGAAAATACACTGCATTTGGTATTCAGTGACATTCTCTCGAGGCGTCATTCCAATTAGGAAGAAATAACAGAATCAGTTTTCAGGATTTCCTAATTTCCAGAGGATATGCAACAATGTTTACTCACGAAAGAACAAACTCAGCTGTATTTTTGTGTTGCTCAAATATAACATTGACTAACATTATCGTTTAACAAGAAGGGCATCTCAGAAATTTCAAAAGAAAAACTGGCCACCAGTTGTAAGAGTTCAAGAATAAGTATTAAACATATGTTTTTCGTTTTTATATCCGTCTATGACGACCATTATTGCTGCATAACAGTGTAGTGTTAATATCGTGAAACTATAACCTTTCATATGAAACGTATACCCGTAGGTTTGCGCGCACATGGAAATATTTAGATAAAAACTTCTTCATGGTATTTTAATGAAGTTTTATCGCAAATCTACGTAATCATTTGATAACGTATCTCATATTGATAACATTTTTGAAAGACAAATGTAATATGTTACCTTCGTCGTTAGTCGATGAGTTTACACATGCAATCACGCAGACGATTATGACGAGGAATACTTGCGCAGATCTTGCCATGATGAAGGATGATTGTACACTAATCTAATCGTTTAGATAAACAGAAATTTAATACTCGCTGTTTTGTAAAACAGGAAGCCACATGAGTAGGCAAGGCAAGGAAATACTTGTCACGTTGATCAGTCAAATATAGAGAGCTTTATCATTACTTATATATCGTAACTTAAAATAAAGAATGTCTCTCTGATGGATGTCAGCAAAATATGCTGAGTGTTTCTGTCCTGATTACATGATGTTTTGGGATAAAAAAATAGGAAGCGATTCTACTTTTGCTACTTTAGGCTAACAATATCACTGCCGAATCCCGCGAATAAGGTGAACTGATGACATAAAAAGAGAAAAATGTTCGTTATTTGAACAACAAGAATCGAAGATTATGTACAGTAATATACCAAAGTAGTGAAAGCACTTGTAAAACTCCTCACAAACACTCGTATACAGACATTACTGACGATACAGACAATGAAGAGGTTTCGTTGGTTCAAACCACTGAGGTTCAAACGTATAAAACATTTTGATTTCCACGTTGAAATATTATCCGCATCAAGGTTAATGTCCAAAATAGTATTGTAGTTGCTATAAGAATGGATTTACTGATTTTGAGACCCTTCCAAGATTAATTTACTCTGAAAAATAGGATTATAGATTATTTAGATTAGATCTTATAATAATCTCGTCAATTAATTTGTAACCAAAAGTATAGTTAATACGTTTGGTAAGTTGTAAATGTCTTCTGGATTGTCTATGATTGCAATGACTAGCTCCACGGCACAACCCCACGGCCCACGGCACAGAAAGTGTCATACTGGAAATGTACTTAGTTTAATATGGTTTTCGCTATGCTTATGACTATATAAAAACCCACGAAAATGACAGTTTAAAAGTAATCAAATTGTTATTGCTACTGGTTAAAATGTTTTATGATGAATTAAGGACAATATTAAAATGAAAAGATTCTGCAAAGGAGTTTCATGTTCTGTTGTAAAAGCCAGGAAACCTGATCTGTTTCTTGTTATCTTCATTTGGTGCAGACGACACAGGTCAGTTCATAACCCTGAACATAGGGCGGACATGGTATACTACCACAAGTACTTTCAACGAAATAAAGCAAAGCTCCATCCTTGTTGACGTGTGATCCAATGGTTGCTTCGGGTTTTCCATCAACACAAATGTATTGTGTTCGTCCTTTGCCGTTATTATGATGTTCTGCCATTAGATATCCCTTATACTCCATAGTCCAACCAGATGGACAAACATTACGAGCTGGTATCATCACATGACTAGCACGTGATTCACTGTGGCATACAGCACATGGTGCGTCATGATCATGAAGATTGGAATTTGGAAATATCTGTTTTTGAGCCGAATATATTTCGTACTCTGTACCATATATGTAACCTCCCTGACTTCCTCCGCTAATTTTTTCGAATACTGGATTCAATGGCAGACAGAGATAGTTTGAACCACCGCCGGGGTGAGTATAATGTGAGCCTGCCATCACACCTGTAGATATGCAAAATTACAAATCAGAAAGTATTGACTAGAATATTGCCCAGTAATGCCAAGTTAGAAATATTATGAACATGTTCATACTGATAAATATGATTTTATGAACATTTGTTACCTGAGTACAATTTCGTTGTTTTATTTGTGCCAGGACATGTTTTTCTTCCCCACCGCGTGTACACTGCACCTCCTGTAGCAACCCCTGGCTTCCCTGTACGTCCTCGAAGTCCCTTAGGTCCTCTTGGGCCACGCTTACCTGGGGAACCTGAATCAGTGGAGAGAGAGAATTTTAATAAGTTGCCCTCCTCCCCTTCCCTCCTGACTGAATTATGAACTGAGACAAACAGCTAATTTTAGTTGTTTTTTAATAAGTTGTTGAATACCCATCAATCCAGCATCACGACCATCTCGTCCTACAGAAAAAAATAAACAGAATAAATGTTTTTGTCTCGTGCAAACCGTTGCTTATTCAGCCAAGTTACATTCAAATTTTTTATTGATCCAACTCAGACGCTGTCAGGATATGTAGACCGTGCGACGTACGAAGTACTTACCGTCTCGTCCTGGTAGACCTCGACAAATATCTTGTTTGGGCTTTTGTTTCAGGCTTCTGCGTTTGAGAGTCAGAAAATGAATCATTGCACAAATTTGAACTGGATTATAGAATGATAGAAAAGCATACGCTATATATAGCCGTATAATGTAAGTCTTAAGACTTTGAACAAATAGGCCATATAGAATGCACAATTCGTAAAGTTATAATTCTTTGTTACATGTCTATTTCCCGAAAATGTTGTAAAAGTGCTAAAGACTTGCTGCTAATCTTCATTTATCTGTTTGTGTGAAGCACGCACAAATTTGCGAAGATGGGACCAAATAATTCAGTTCTTTCAAAATGTCTTACCGAACACTGATATCTTGTTCCTCCTGTTTAGAACAAACTAAATTGAAAACAGCCAGAAAAAGAACGCCTAAAACAAAGTAGTTCGCCATTTTTTGCTCTAAGTGATTAAGATGTTTCTTGCTTCCAACGAAGACAGAATAATAACACTGAAAATTCCTTCACTGAGGTGATTCGTTTGTTTTGAAACAAGCTGAAACGGAAGACTGGCAAATGTTCGGTCAATTTTCATCTCTATGAAGTTGTCAGTATACATGCCACAATGCCACTAATGTCACGTTCACAAGCGGTACTAGGCGAGGTTGCGTTTGAAATATGTCAAATTTTGAAGTTAATAAAAGACAGTGCAGATTTTTAATCTCTGAGCCGGAATAAATATACCAAACCTATCAAATTAAAAGGCATTTGCTAATAATCGTAAATCGTTGCCTCAGAAAGCGCAAATTCATTCGCGCGACGCGAAGCGATATCTGAAGTCCGGTGATGTGATTGGTTTGCGAAAAAGTAGAAACTCTTCCAACTTTTTATCTGTTCGCACGAAGTTCGCCTAGTGGAAAACGGTTCTGTGTAAAGTTGTAAACGTTGCCTAAGTTGGCTAAGTATCCTAAGTCAGTGTTTGCGTAATATTTACAAAACTCTAATTTCCACATTCAGTTTGCCATCGTGTTTTGGGCTGGCGACCGGTGGCCCTTATGGCCTTATCGTGAAGTATATTTAGCACAAACCTGAACTATGAGAAATCAAGTTCTCGTCAATCGGTATCGAATTAGAATAAAATTTCAACATCTCGGACATGCAGGATAAGCCTGAAAAAATGAAAGCGCAAACTGAAATTGAATTTACGAAACTCGATACATTATTGCAAGATCAGCGTTTAAAATTTACTCGCACAGGGAAAGAAAGGTGTCAATGCTTGACGTAGTTATTGTATAAGGGTGCATTGTCTAAACGAGTTTTTACTAGAAGGGCAACAGGAAAACGTTCTCCACTTGAGAGTTGCAAGTACGAGAAGAAACATGGCGGGGGGGAGGCGACCGCGCAATATATGCCGATTTCGATCAGGCGCTTGTATACAGAGAGGGTCGACCAGTTCAATGGGGTCGACCACACTCACCACAGTTAATAGAATATACATGGTTTAGAGACTAAATAAAAGTACAATACAACTCATTAACTATGTTATTGTCCAGGTTTATGCTTTTCCTTTCTCGTCACGTGTCTATTGTATTTTAGCCAAACGTACCAATGGCATTCGTCTTGCTTAGCTCCTCAACCTTGACTTAAAAAATATGTTAATTATAAGATTGCTATTAGTTTATCTTTGCAAAATACAATAGGCACGTGATGAGAAAGGAACAATTTTTTGCATAAATCTACCTCAACATAGTTAATGAGTTGTACTGTAGTTTTAATTTATGTCGTCTCCAAACTTGTCTCTATTCACGATGAATCATACATGAAGTATCCCGAACGTTCTGGCCTCCGGGTCAAAGTTTGCAAAATGGCAGCTCTTTTTGCTCTCACCCGTGGAAGATGTTTCACACCCTTTCTGGTATTTATTTATGTTTTTTTACATTATTTTGTTCTCATTTAAATCTCAAATCATAGTTATAATCTCGTATATAATCATAGATATAGTTAGTCTCTAATCAAGGTTGCACATATGAAATTTTTTTTAGGAATACTGATTTTCTCTATTTAGGCAAAAAAGACGTATGGTTGTTCCCCAATCTTGCGCTGTTTGAGGTGGGTAAGCTGCATGCACGGTTTACATTATGTTTAATTGCATTATTAGACTTCAAAGGTGCATCCCTCTGAGAATTTGCCTGAAAACTTGTGTGGACTCACTGATGTGGACTGTGGCACTGTACGTGGTACAACAACTGCCTATAACAGGCAAAACGACGTTTTGAATAAAGGGCCTTAGTCAGGTCATTTAGTATGAGAGTTACACACTAACTCTCTTAAGGGCAAAATGCTGACAAATGTTTTGTATATTTTAGGCAGTTGTTAGACCACATTTGATGCAAAGTTGTTAGAAGATATGTTGCATGATGTTCCTTGGTTATATTTTAGATTATATGACCATGATGAGTGCTTTAGCTTTGTCTCCTCCCTAGACTAGTCTTTGTGCGTTCCACTTTATTTGCATTCAATTGTCATGCACTCATGCTGAAAAATGGGGGCTGCATTTGCATCCTGTCTCCCATGGGATCATTTATTAATTGATGGTATGGTTTTTACAGCTCTCACTCTGATGATAAATATATTCAGCGCAGTATTGTGCCAACCTATCACTTTCAACCAAGCTTACCACGGTTACCCATACCTAAACTAGAAGACTCTTGCCGTCGCTACCTTGATGCACAGAAAGTTATATTAAGCCCAGAAGAATATGAAAATACCAAAAGACTTGTAGAGAATTTTAAGCAGAATGAAGGACCAGGTATATATTAACTGATTGTTGATAGAACATGAGGTGTGGTCTGATATTTCACAGTATAAATCGAACAAGCTAGGTCAATAATCAGTTTATTATTTGGCGAAACTGCATGAGGCATCCAGGATACTGGTCCAGATACAGAATTTACAAACCACAGTCTGGATATGGGTTTTTACATACCGCTTGTCAGCCAATCAGAATAGAGGTTTTTGAAAATCAGTATCATAAAATAACTTATTATCTACATCATCACCAGTCATGGTGCTGAGAGAGGGGGGGGGGAATTGGGAGTATTCCCCCCCAATTTTGTTGTTGGACTCCCAGTTTTCCCTTGAATCTTTTCATGTTATGTACCAATTATTTTATAGTTTTATGTAATGTTTGCTTCACTTATAATAAGATCTTGCCCCCCCTGAAACATTTCTTTGACATCTAATTGCTCCATTCATTTTAACCGGATGCCACCACTGTTATCATTACTAATAGCTTTATCATCATTACTGTGCTTAAACAGCTGACACCATGTTTTGTTCATTGATCAATCATCTGTATAAGTAACCATTTTAATGTCTGTCAAGTAACAAAGGTGTATCTTACTAGAACTACAAAAGGAACTTATCTTCAAAGATAAACAGAACAAACACACTAGTTACATCTCAGGTAAACATGAATAAGCAAATAAATTAAATATAATTATGTTAAATTACACAGAGAACACAAAAAAATTCATTAACTTGAATAATTGATCATTGAATTTATCCTTTAGAGCCCTGGACTGACATGTATCTTAAAGATCGAAGATCTGTTATGTTAAATCATAATCCATTTATGACTTTCAAACAAGATTCAAATACTGACAACAACCATCAGGTAGTAATTAACAGTGAATTAATCAGGCTACAGAACTCTTAGAATATATATTTAATACATCTGATAATACAATGACACAATTTATTTATTTTAGTTGGTAAGAGCAACAAACTTCATAATTTCCTCCATGAAATTCAAGAATTCTTTAGACGAAGAAATTTTAGATCCTGAAATATTTCACTTGAATCCAAAGAAGAGTGATACTGATTGGTTCAAAAGAGTAATACGGTATTGATTGGCATTTTTTATACCACCACACATATATCTTACTTCCTAAGCATCTTATTTATAATAAGATTAGATGACAGGGGTGAATCAAATTCTTCAAGATGTACTTGAAATAATTATATAGCATATTCTAAAAGAATTGTATTTAGGTCATGACTTGCAAGCCTCTGACCCTTGTGTTAATTAATTCATATTTTGACATGGTACTATTTTTCCAGATTTGTACCATCAAGCCTGTCATGGTATGGTGCTTACTTGGTGAAGGCATTTCCTTTAGATATGAGTCAATATACTCGTATGTTTGCGTCAACTCGGATACCTCAATCTGGCAGAGATAAACTTATTACATATGCAGACAGCAGACATATTCTAGTTATTCATAATGGAAATTATTACACCCTTGATGTCATTGATGAAGCAGGTCAGTTGTACAGTACAATACAATATCACTTCCTAGATCATTGATAGTAATGCGATAAGTTTGTAAGTAAAACTCATGAATGAGCAATCAGTTTAGTAAGTGAGACTCGTGAATAAAAGCCAATAACAGAAAAGGGCGATTTAAAATAAAGCAGAACATAATCGGAAGATTAACGTTTTTCCATCACCCACAGGAACCATACGCCCGGCTTCAGAAATCTTAAAGAATCTTCAAGCTATCGTGTTGGATGAGACGGGAGACTCTCAATATCCTGTGGCAGTTCTAACTTCTGAAGATCGAGACTCCTGGACATCAACACGTCAAGAACTAGAAACTTTGATGAGCAACACAGAACCTCTGAAGATGATTGATAGTGCTTTATTTGTTCTCTGTCTTGATCAAGATGAGCCAGAGACACCTGGAGAGGTCACAAAAGTTTTCCTTCATGGTGATGGAAAAAACAGGTAGAAAAGAAGAAAACGTCATTGGTTTAAACTTCAATCGTATCATAATTGCTCGTAGACGCGTGTCTACTTTACTATGGTTTATGTCTGACGGCTCTGGTATTAACGGTTAATAAAGCGAATGTGTTACAGCCTGGCTTTTTGGTGGAGATCGAGAAAGTATTGGTACAGATATGCACGTAAAAAATTAATATTTGGACACGCTGAATTGATTAAGGTGGAAATGGAGATATCTGAGTAGTTAGAGTGTCATTCGTTATGAACCGTTTTCTAATTTTTTAGATGGTTTGATAAATCAATTCAACTGATAGTCTGTCGTAATGGTTTGTCAGGCGTACACTTCGAACATGCCTGGGGTGATGGTGTTGCTGTGTTGAGATATTTCAACGAAATACATAAAGATTCCATTGATAATCCAGCTTGTTCTAGTTCACAGCTTGCGTCACTTGACTTGTCTGCTTCCACATTCAGAAAACTGGAGTTCACTCTTCCCTCTGGTTTTGAAAGTAAGATAAAAGCAGCGAAGGAAAACTTTGATGAACGCGTAAATAGTTTGGATATGGAGACTTTACAGTTGTCCACGTTTGGTAGAGAATATCTGAAGAGAAAGAAGATCAGTCCAGATGCTGTCATGCAGTTGGCATTTCAGGTGAGAAATAATATTTATAATATGTGTGCAGTGGCGTAGCCATGCAGCCTGACAATTTAGTAATTGTAATTGTAATTGTAATTGTAAAAATTGTAAAATACATGGGCAGCTCGAAAACTGAATTGCGTATTTACAAGCTAATTTAAAATGAAAACACATGACAGACACTACAAACAATCTATATATAACTATTTGAAAATCTATATTTAAAAGTTCCCATTAGTCTTGCTATGCTAATATTTTGGTGTTCATTGACTGTGAAAACAATTAATTTCTAACGAAATGAATAATGATAATAACATAAAATTTGCCTAGCATGACTAAATCGTCAGGCTGGCTACTGTAATACTGTATGTATGTGTGACCAATATCAGTACTACAGTACGAGTATAAAACGTTTTATATGTACCATCATATCCTGCACGTGTCCTGTAATGACCTGCAATAGTAGCGAGTATCCTGCGATATCTTGCACTTTTATCAAGTATCCTGCTATACCTTGTAAGTGGAGCAAGTGTCCAACAATACCCTGCAGATGTAGCAAGTTATCCCCTAAACCGTGCAAGCATATTGGTAACATTGTGTTTATCGTGAGTGTTACTGATTACTGTTGATGAGGTTTATTTCCTGAAAATATCTTTTCAGATGGGTTATTACCGTCAACATGGCAAGTTTGTTGGAACCTACGAGTCTTGTAGTACAGCGGCTTTCAAACATGGTCGTACCGAGACTGTGCGACCAGCGTCATTAGCCACTGTGGCCTGCAGTCAGGCGTTTGAAACAACCCACAAAGCAGGTGTGGATGAAATGAACAATTTAATCCAAAAAGTGTCAGATTATCACAATCAATTGATTAAAGAGGCAGCGATGGGTGAGTTCACTCTTGTTATTATCTCATGGGACGAAACTGACACCATTATAGCTACAGGCTGTATATAAAATCAGATATTGAAATCAGATATTAATGAAGATGGCATAATTACACACCTCGTGTGGCAGCTATTCGAATAACAAGGAATAAAATGTATTTTCAAATCCCAGAAGCATAACTCTCTGCACTGGCATGGAAATGCTATTTACCGTGCCTGCTTCTGGAAATCTTAGTATTTAATACACCCTATAGATAACGTCACGTAAATAACATGAAATGACGTAATTCTCACTTGTTCTTTGATCTGTTTTAGGTCAAGGTTTTGATCGTCATTTCTTCGGTCTTCGTCATCTTGCCGAGTCCTCAGGAAAGGTACCTAAAATCTTTCAAGATCCCTCGTACACCCGTCTTAACCATATTATTCTATCCACAAGTACCCTCTCGAGTCCTAGTGTATTGATGGGAGGTTTTGCGCCCGTGGTACCTGATGGACTAGGTATTGGGTATAGTATCTCTGATCATGAGCTTGGTTGTAATGTTTTAAGTTACGGTCTGCCGACGGACGTTGGAGGATTCCTCAAATGTGTAGAATCTAGTCTCGAAGATTTATATGAAGTGATGGATGGGCGAAATTTTAAAAATAAATCTGGTTGATGACCCCACACTACATATTGCGTATCCACGAGGGCAGATCTGTAGAAATATTGACCTTAAGTTTCAACTCTCTCTTAACAGTATTGTATCCCTACTCTATCTGTTAAAATTTTGTTAAGCTGGAAGCCTGGGATCCAGTGAAGATATAATATAGACCAGCGCAAATCAGAGCAGCTAAAAACCTGTGATAATGGTTTACTATAATAAGACTAAATAACTGCAAGATATTTGTACTGATTAACGCGACTCAAATTGAGCAAGATCGTATTATTTGGGGCCGGTTTTTCGAAACTAGTTTAGTACAAACAGTGAGATTTCCCGAGTATTAGTGATGTTTATACATTCAACAGAAAACAAAACTAGGATATTTGAACGAAAACTATAACAACCATAACGGAACGCTATATTTATTTAACGAGGTTTTATTTCTGAAACTGTTGGTCTAATTTGATCTTATACATCTCCTGTGTCAAGCAGCCCCCTGTATGTCATATTGCACGGTTCAAAAGCTATTGGTCATTATTTTTATGCCACCAAATATTTTAGACGGGAAAGACAATGAATGTTTTTTATTAGGAATGTATTCATAATTGTCCCCAATCTGTTACTGACTGATCAGATGTTTGAAACGTAATTGCGACGCCTGCTTCGAAAATGACCGTCGTGAGGCTTTTAGGGTGGACTTCGGACGCATTTGGAAACCATTAACGTGAATTATTCGAGAACACCAAGTTAGTTTAGATTAAAAAGCAAAAACTTATCATTATTCACAGTTTGATAATAAATGAAAGTTCAAGATAAGATTTAATCCATTTGTCTGTGGCTAATGATGGTATTACGCCCATAAGAAACAACAACAACGCCCAAACAATTGACATTCACGAAGACGGAAGATGGAAGACCTGTCTTCAAAAATTAATCAGTTGTTTTTCAATCGTGTTTTGAAGAATATGCAAGGCTTTATTCAACAAATAGTCAAATTGTTTCAAACCTAAGGACAAATCTTCTCTAAGAAATGTGTATTTGATCTTCCATAATAAAATATTGTTTATGTGTAACTTCCATGAAACTAGATGATCGTAAATAGCGAGGATTTCTAGGATAAACGTGCATTTAAATATGCCAACAATTGCAAAGTTTCTAAGCAAAGTAATATAGCGGCTTTGCAAACCAAAGCACTAGATAGTATACTATCTATACATTGGTCTTACGGCACCTTATAGAATTCTATTTTAACTGAACTATGTTCACAATGTTACGAGGGTCAGGAGAGTTAGTATTAAAAGAGAAAAATAAGAGGTGTTTTAGTAGGCTTTCTTCATATCCATTTTCATCTTCTATTCACCACAAAAAAATCAATTAGCGATAGATCACGATTAGATTAATCAATGAGACTAAAACAACCCATGTCTCATAACATCCCATGTACGCGTGAGACTATCTGGCGAACACCTGAATGCAGGATATCAGAAAGCACCATCCTTTTAGCCCGTGTTCTCGTAATTGATTTTTATTCATATTTCATGTAAATTCCTGTCATCACCTTGCAGTATCTGCGTGACAGACTCAAGGGGGCTTTAGGGTGTCATCATTATTCATATCTCAACTTCCTTTGGAAGCCTACGAGAAATAACGCTGTACATCTATAAAATCGCGTTTTTTCACGCGATCATTATGAAACTGCTGTCAAAATAATGCCTCAGATTTACGTAAATTACTGAACTGATCTAATCGTGAGTGTAGGCAGTAGTCTGGACTCTGTAGTGTTTAAGTGTCGTCAATCTCATTTGCTCGGAATCTGCTTGGAAAAATGACACTCAAAGCATTCACACGCATTGTTTCCGTCTTAACATCATTTATTTTTATTTTGTTGTCTTTGATAAGGAAAAATTAGTAGAGGAAATATGTAGTTGTTAAGTGAATTTTTATTAAAATTCCATCTGATAATAGTGATCTGTGCTTTGGATCACGATTTTTAGTATAGATATGCCAACTGTTAGGTGTGGTTGAAGGCAAAAACACTTCTTTGTTAATTAAGTGATAATTTATTCCCTTGAACCGTAATGGTGTGATATAGCGGAGTCTGGAGTGGTATTGGTTAAACTATAACATTTTTAACTATTCACTGTTTTGAAGATCAAAACGCCAAACTCTTGAAACTTAGCTCCAAAACGCCTGCCATTTACCTTTGGTAAAGTGTTTTTTATCCAGCAGTATTGCGGCTGCTTTTGCCCCAAGGCATTGAACTTACTTGAATATAATTATTGCATCACCGCTATTTACGTTTTTCTTTGTTGTTATGTTGTATACAAATGGGAATGGATTACTCGTCTTAGCTTTTTTGCGTCACTTGAGAAACAGGATTTATGGCTAATCCAAACGACACCCCACTCCATTGACATATAGAATTTTAGATATTTTAGTTCAATCAGTCAATCTATTTCTGATAGTCATTTGTCTTGTGTGATTCAGCGAGATGAGTTCATGGGTTTTTATCTCAGACTATAAGTTCTTGTTGCTCTATATGGTCACTAGTACCAGAATAAGTTAAAAGATGAATGTTTATAGTAAGGTTTTTCGGTGTAAACGGTGAAGACAATTTTAACTGACCGTCCCAGCCCTTCCGTTTTAGTATTTCCCTCTATGGATATCAAGTTTACATTCCGGCAATAGTCCAAGACGATCACAGTATCACATTACATGCGTTGGATTTCATTGCATTTCTGCGCTCTCCAAATGCACAAGGCAATTTTGAGACCTTCATATAGCCCGTTAGATCTTTGGATTTCTCATAAGAGCGGCAAGAGATAGCGTCTGGTGAATTCTGCTGTGGATTATTTGGGGAATTCAAGTAACCGACACTTATCAAATATCCCAAGACATCACCCGTATCTCCGTATTTGGCCGTGCGCAAATTTCATATCCGACAAGAATTCGTGCGCAAAGGCAGCCAAGTACAGCAGAAAAAGATTCCTAAAACTTGGAACTCTATCAAGGCTAAGAGAAGGGCTCTACGCTGAGGGTTTATAGAAAGAGATTGGAATTACATAAATTTGCGCTCATTTGAGGTATGATTAAAAATTAAGGTATATTTGAGAAAGGGTTCTGTTTGTTTTTATATAACCTCTATGTAAAGTCATTTGCGCGATCAGTTCGGAGATTACATTGCATGTTTATGATATCATGGCTAGGAATGGTTCTCTTTAGAATGCGCGAATGTAAGTCATCTTTTTTTTCCTTACAGACATTTTACTCCATATCGTCAGTGAACAGATCGCTGTTATCAGGAGTATTGTGATTTCATACATAGTGTGTGTTCTGTACTTCATTGTATACCCATATCTTGCTGAGAAATATGCCATATACCTTGTGGGTTGTCTTTGCTTTGCTGTGCCTCCCAGGTATGATTTGTGTTTTTGTTTTGCTCTAACATATACTAGATGTATACATCATGTTGTAAAGTGCATGCGTATTTTGACAGCTTCGGCTGCGAGACAAACGACGTCGCGTCTTATGGCTTAGAGTTACGAAGTTACAAACAGTCAGACTTCGCAAAATAATCTCACTTCCCAATATGCGGACAGCTTACGCAAATTTCCATGCTTGGACCATGTCCCTGGGTGAAGTTCTTCAAACACTATTCATTTTTTTAGTGGATCGAGCAAGCCTCAGATACCAGATAGTTTTTGTTATCAATGCCAAAATCAGAAATCACTGTGGTCTATAAAATACCATTCCCTGCCTCCCTCTTGCCTGAGCGATTTCTGGATCGTCTATTAGATTTAAGGGACTTGCAATTCTTTTTCAACTTTGAAAAGTTTCATTTTCAATGTGTTCAAAAGAACAAATTCTTTTTTTAAGGCTCGCTTTCGACCAATATTTATCAAAGAATATTAATGGTTTGAAAATATCAATTTCACACAAGAAACGAGTTTTTGTGATTAACTTTAATCATAGATGGACTTAATGTTAAAAATCCGTAAGATAAAGTAAGCAAGAAATTGATTGAAAAGCTCATTTTTGAATAAAACAATTTTGATCAAAATAAGTTATCGCGCGCCGTGCAATCAAACGTGGCCTGGAAATCGATACTGCAGTATGACAATTTAATATAGTTTTCGGTCACTTAATGCTTCAAACATTGGGCTTCGGTACATTTTATCTGATTTAACGAGAATGAGAGTGCACGGGCCCATGCTTTTGAAAAATACTAAAATACGCGGTATTGTTCTTATTCTTCGGTTAATATATGGTCACAATTCATTATTCAAAAATCCTGGGTACATTTGACGAAATATATGCAAATTACCTGCTTTATGCCATGACGGTTTTTAAAATAGGCGTGAGGATTTAATATTTTCTTATCAAAAAAATCTTAATTTTTGTTGCGGTATTTAAGATTCGTATCAATCAAGCACGAAGTGTAAAGTGTTTCGCTTATTTCCTTAAAGTTTTTATATTGCTTGGATTGTATTGTTTCATTTAACTCGTATCTTTGAATCACCTCAAGTGTAAGGTCGTGATAGACGCTTTAACTCAAACGAGATGTTTTATCATTTGTCCGTGTGGCTGTATTACGTTCGCGCACTCATTTCAATAATTTTGTGAGACGTTCAAGTTCAGCTTCGCGCAATCATTTTAAATATGCGCGAGAATATTTCAGCGCAGCAGCGTTCAATGAAACCTAGCGTGGAGTTGCCCAATGTGTCCTTCTTGCATTATACGCAACCAAATAGAAATAACTCAGTGGACGAGTTTATACATTTTTTGTATTTTAATATTATACAACTGACGCTTGTAGTAGGAGATGACTGCATTTTAATGCAAGGCAAATAACCTTCACCGTATCAGTCGCATGTAAAACAAACATTGCAATGCAGTGACTGCAAGGTCTATTCAAACATCGTCTAGCTTAGAAAAACACACACACAGAACCCTGAGGCAATATATCACATCATAAATGGCACAATCTCATGTCTGTTTACCTTTTAGAAATTCTTCGTCTGAGGTAAATCGCTAAAATTTGTCGACTATTTATTGCTAAAATCGACTATTTATTATAGAAAAATCAAATTGTAATGCAATGCTTTGATAAGCTGTTCTGCGATAAGAAATGAGATTATGAATGCCAAATGACAGGAGGGCCAGATTTTGTGTGTCAATGGGAATATAGTTTGTCGTAGATCCGTAAGCAAACAGGTGTGTTTGTTTGAGGTTACCGCAAGTAAGGCCACCCTTGGGCCTCATTGGCCACTGCTTGTATCTACTGAGTCGCAAGGAAACATAGGATTACAACTATTACACCTTTGGCAGGATACATCGCTAAGCCGAACCTCTGTTTTCTTTATTCATGCCCACAATCAAACCTAGGCCTAGAGTATAAACCTGTATGAAGTTTGTTTTCCGTTGTGTAGGAGCTTCTTACTTACTTCAAACTCACAAGTGCATCTTTCATGAATCAAATAAACTGGGTTAAATGATTACTATTTTTTTTTCGTATTCAATATTCATCGAGCTAACTAGCTTGGTCCCATAAAACCAAACAAGTCTTCTCAATATTTCACAAACCTAGTAGAGAGGTATAGTAATTAGTAGAGAGGTACAGTAATTAGTAAAAAGATTGTAAAATTCGCTCATCCATATTAAGTGATTCAGTGATTGATAATTTTGGCCGCAGAAACTCGAGACTCAATCATGGCGGATATTTCACTCGGATATTTTCATTCCAGTTCTTCAATATGCGGTTCGTTTACTATCATTACGACCCAGGAAAGCTCGTGAAGACATGTCGTGATTTCTTAACAGGAATCTCATTAATTTTAGCGATGTGTTTGACTATTTGCATGAAATATCGTACGGAATTGAGAAAAACAGTATTAAATATTATCGTCCAGCGATCACACGATTGAACTTGTGCTTTGCGTTTTTTTAAAATATTCTCAAATATTATTTAAAAAGAGAAAAAGGCAAATTAAGCTGATCATGTCCCACAGTTTTATAATTCGCTTCGCAACACGATTTTTTCGTTTGACTGTAATTAAATTAAACTCATTTTGTGAATGATTCCGGTTGGCGATGGTTGGCACAGAGATTCATTGTCTGACTCAGTTCATCATTTAGAAGAAAAAAATATTAACCGAACTGCACTTTGCGTTTTATTTATCCACGGCAAACTTGCCTTAATTATATATTAGGGGTTTGTACACTAAAACTTTCCAGTTTTCACGCTGATTTCATCAGTGCCAGCTCTGTAAAATGTAGATCTACCATTCTATCTGGTATCTTAAGGCGTATGCGTTTTATGTAAATCAACTCGCTATATTCAAGTTTAATTCGCTATATTCAAGTTCTACGCCCCAATTCGTCAGTCAACGAAGCTTTGTTGAGTTCTCATTAATTTATCATCGTTCGTCGCAGTAGAGAATTGTTCACGTCATGCATTTAAAATTTTAATTCAAGGTCAAAGCGCAGCAAATGGTAATCAGTAATAGTTACTTGTCAATTCGCGCCAAACATGCAGACATGTAATTTTAAACTCGCCTCTGGCTTGTAACGTTAACTGCAAAACAGCGTGGAGAGTTTCTTGAGAGGTCATGGATCGAGTATTTGAAGTATAACTTCGAAATATTCAATCCGACAATCCAAGTCGATTTCATTTAGTCGTTCGTCGTCGCGTTTTGACTTTTTAATAAATTCTGTGAGTGCGATAAAATATACAATGAAGTGCAGAAATGGTGAGCCACAAATGTCACTAACAATATAAACAGCTGCGATATAGATTTGTTTACCTACTGTTTGCTTGCTGTTTCTTGAGACTAATCAGGTGATCGATATACGATCTAACAAAACACATGGTCAACGATGAAATTTAAATTAACTCCATGTCCTATTGTTATTAGGTAAGCTTGGATATAGCTTCAAAATATCTCTAAATTACACTGTGATAACAGCGAGCATCGTTGTGTATTTTTATAAAAATACTTAGAAGTTCTCGAAATGCGTGTTCAATCGTGTTCGCTGACATTTCAGACGTTTTTTGCACTATTTTTATCCCGCCATATCGCGTGTAGAAATTGCCGATTTTATCGTTAACTCCTGTCGTAAAAAACCCAATTTGTGATCACGTTTCACATTTGACGTAACCATAACATAACACACTCGACAACAAAATTATCAATATCGAACAGAATCTTTTGAAATTTGAACTAACGAATGTAACTTAACTAGTATATCAGATGTGAAACAGAAAAGCTTGTCACGTTCTCTCGTAACTGAGAGAAAAACATTTCCACACACAAACTAGGCCAAACATGACTGACAGGAACTGTGTTTTTTTCCACTTGCGTGGTTCCTTAGATTAACTGTATTTAGGTCTCCTTATAAGGATAGTAATATCATTAAGAAAATTTCAGCGCTTACTTTGAAATGAAGTTGTTGAAAGAAACCGCGACAATTGTTGGAATAAACTCCCCCAAACACGCTTTACGTGTTAGTAAAGTGCTCAATTAATTTCCTTAAATTTCATCAAATTTGATTAAATGTAACACTTAGTTTTCATGTAAAGTTTGATTCAGATCGATTCTCTTTTTTTTATAAATACAGTACATATAATTCACATTTTTCTTCCAAAAAAGAAGAGCTTAGAGTTGGTAGTTATGATTTAAGACCAGGTAGCTTGGTTTAGTTAGTCTCTTCCTGTACCACAAGGATGAACGTGTGTCCTGAAAGAACTATTTTTATAGAACTGGAGTCATACAGTAATCTAAAATTTTAATTGTTTAGGTTCAATATTAAGTCAAAATGTTCCAACGGATATCGACAGTTGTATAGGAAATGCCTGCTACCCTTCCACAGGTGATCTTCTAGTAGGTCGGGGAGATCGTCTTTATGCTAGTTCGACTTGTGGTTCTCGAGGCAGGGTCGAGAGGTTTTGTGTCATTTCTGAATTAAAAGAAAGAGATAATTGTTTCTGGTGTGATTCTCGACCAACATCTGGAGATACATACTCACATGCGCCCAGGTTCATGGAAATTTTATTCAATGAAGAAGCGAAAAAGTCCTGGTGGCAGTCTGAGAACGGAAAAGAAAATGTCTACCTTCAGGTATGTACCTTTCAGGAATTCCGATTTGTGAGCCTTACATTAGAGAAAGTTCTTTCTTAATCAAAGAAAAGATTTCAGGTAAAACACTGAAAATCAAATTTCTCTGTTATCCACACTTGAATACCCGCAATCCAGATTCCGTGGACCCTTAGTGTCATTTATATTATATTCAAAAAAATGTTCAAATATTTAGCTCGACTTTGGCGCTCAATTTCATGTCACACATATTGTTATGAAATGGAAGTCATTTCGTCCAGCTGCGATGTTGATAGAGAAATCTTTTGACTACCAAAGATCTTGGAATGTATCACGTTATTATGCAAAGAATTGTGCAGCTAGTTTTCCTGGTGTACCTGTGGTTCCACAGCCTGACATTACGTCACCATATTGTTCTTCAGATTATTCTGATATTGAACCATCCAGTGGAGGAGAGGTGAGTACAGCGTCTAGTGTATCTCACGAACTTCATGGTGTGCAACTTGCAACATTCCAGTTGATAATGAATAAAACCAATAACAAACTTTTTGAAAGAAACTTTATCAAGGGGATCAACCCCTTGAAGTGGTCTCCAAGATAGTCTTCTTGATTCCAAATGTTTATTAGTTTAAGGTCTTTATTAATAATACTTTAATAAATTAGAGAGTGGTACTCAGTTAGAACATATGTTCTCTACATGGTTATCAAATGGTCATGGTTTGTGATACTACATTTTGTAGTTGATTGATTGATTGACACCTTTATTTAAACAAGGTAGTCCCATCAGTAGTAAAAACTACTGCTATCAACTGGAGCCTACGATATATATACTAAAGAATAAAACTATTTCCCCTTATTATGATATACAACATGCAATAAGCGAAAATAGTTTTATATTTCAAGTAGTTTTATTCTTTTGTATTGTCTTTTCATGAGCGCTTCTATATTTCATATATTTTTAATATTTGCTGTTCAGTGAAGGGTTTGAGGATTCTTATCTAACGGCATTTTGTCTTATCAAGACTTTGACGTGAAGATTTAACATGTATTTAGGTCGTGTACAAAGCGTTGAAAGGTGACGAAGATGCGTCTGATGTGAAAATTCAAAACTTACTTCGAATGACTAACATTCGTATCAACTTCACAAAATTGAACACCTTGGGGGATGATATCATTGATAACAGGTGAATTTCTTTCTCTTACATGTACGATTCCCTTTATTAGTCAAATTCTTGTATTTTCTTTTATCGTTTCATCAAATCATTTTAATAAACAGCTGCCTAAAATACACAAGAAAACTTCCCGACGTTTCGACACGATAACAAACTAAATAAAGCCCGCTGGGGTTGCAGATTGACCAAACGAAGGCTTAGGTCGAAACATCGAGAAGTTTTTCGTATATTTCAGGCAGTTAGTCATGATTCTCTCTGGCTATTTTTGGTCGACTTTAAATGTCGATCATATGTGGTACTTGGAAGGAAACTTATGTTTGTTATTATCTGTTTCATTAACAGTTTGGAAACAAACAGAAACTATTATTACGCGGTGAATTGGATAAGTATTCGTGGCAGTTGTTCGTGTTATGGTCACGCAAAGCAATGTCTACCTGGTCCCAATGAATACAATAACAAACCCGGCATGGTGAGTGTTAATGTATAGCTTTATATTATTAGAACCAAAGTATCTTTCGGTATTAATTGGTCAAAATTGGTGGCAGATTTTACAGCAGTAAACACAAAGGGTATTTTTAAACGATCTCCCTTTTTTTTTCTTTCGAACCATTGATTTACGAGGAGCCGTATCATGCATGGGGAACACAGCTCATAAGTTTTAATAAGTTATAATCAGCACAACCACAAGTTTACTTTCGTTAATTTATATTTCGCGCTACACACTATGTCATCAATCCAACTTCATTCTACTAGCCAGTCAACTCATTATATATTCTTCAACTATAATGCACTATTGTGCATTGTTTGTAGTGTCGACGTTTCTGTTTGGCAACCCTAACCTCCCCTCGTGTATAATATATATAATTAATTATATCACGTTTATAAGAGTATACTACCCTATCTTATGCCTGTACTTTAAAGAAACTCAATTCCTTTGAACAACGCGTTTGTTATATATGTTACATCCATACTTGGGAGTGATGATAATGATGCATGGTGGTGCTGGTGGTTATAATGATGATGGTGGTGCTGGTGGTTATAATGATGATGGTGGTGCTGGTGGTTATAATGGTGATGATGGTGCTGGTGGTTATAATAGTGATGATGGTGCTGGTGGTTATAATGGTGGTGCTGGTGGTTATAATGGTGGTGATTACTAATGATCACTTCTTCTCATCAGGTTCACAGAATCTGCAACTGCACGCACAACACGAAAGGCGTGAATTGTGAAGAATGTAAAGATCTATACAATGATCTTGCTTGGGAACCTGCGGTGCAAGGCAAACCTTTTGAATGTAAAAGTATGTTTACTTCTTTTTACTATACAAATTAACCGAAACTTCGAAGAGTGAGAATATGATTTATGTACGCTTCTCTTTTCCCAAGAATCTAAATTATTTCTTCTTTTTCTCTGCGGCATTTTATTTCTCTCCTTCTGTTTCATTTTCTCACCATGCGCGATCTTCCATTTCAGAATGTGAATGTCACGGACACGCAGACAAGTGTACATTTAATCCAGCAGTTTTTGAAGCGTCAGGTGGAGTCAGTGGTGGTGTTTGCACAGATTGTAAACATAACACAATCGGTGTTAAATGTGAGAAATGTAAACCTTTACATTATAAAGATCCAAACCTCCCAATTAGTGATCCAAATATCTGCAAACGTAAGTTTAAGTCGTTTTTTTCTTAATTTCAAATTTTAAGAAAGATAAACGTCGAACTAGTTATAGTTTGTAAGAGCGGATTGAAATGAATAAGGGCTATCAGAGTTCATGAGAGGGTAGGTAATATACGAGATGATTAGAGTTCAAGTGTGCAAAATGATTTGAATATGTTAAAATTTAAAGCGAGTTCATGTAGAATGGAAAGTTAGTGTCACTATATGTGAAAATTAACTCTTTCATTAGTTACGATTTAAAAGGCTGTTAATTCTTGTTGTTTAGCGTGTGATTGTGATCCAGTGGGTGCAGTAGGTCGTGGAGAATGTGAAATGGAGGAAGATCCAAGTCGTAATCGCCGCGCTGGTCAGTGTATCTGTAAAGAAAATGTTGGTGGTGAGAGATGTGATCGCTGTAAGAGTGGATATTTCAATCTACAACAAGATAATCAACTCGGCTGTGAACGTAAGTCAATATTGTTAAAGATTAGTAATTGTGTTGATAGTGAGATGATGTTTATGGTTCTTCTATGTGGAGAGGTGATGATAATTATGTGATAATCTTCTATGTAATAATAACGATGGTGAGGTGATGATGCTTTTTTAATGTGAGGTAATAATGGTAATGCTGCTGAATGTTATGTTTTATGGTAGAAAATGATAATAATAGAAAACGTTCAACAGGATTAGAAAAACAATAGATTTTATTTTAAGGCGCACCTGTTTTTATGTATTAAACTAATACTGTTTTTGTGGCGGTTATAGTACTCATGTTGAGGTGATGATTTTTAGGGGGTTTTAGTGGTAATGACGGTAGGGTTTTAATTGTAGTGGTTTATTGTGAGGTGATTTTGATGGATTTTATGGTAGGATATTGTTTAATTTTGTTCGTGTGTGGTGATGATGTGTTTATAGTGGGCAGGTGATGATGCTTTTATGATGAGATAGTTATGGTGTTCAAAGTGTTAGTGTCCACGGTTATTATATGACGATATTCCTGTGAAATATTGACAATTTTATCTATCTATAGCTTGTGGGTGTAACTCGGATGGATCAGTTCATGAAAGCTGTGACGCGCTTACCGGAAAATGTCGGTGCCATAGATTTGTGGAGGGAGAGAAATGTGACAAATGTTTTGTAAGTATGAATGACTATCATCCCAATTTTATTTATTTTAACCTCACTTTGCAAAGAGCAACCAAGAATTATTTGCAATTCATAGACCCAACTCTATTAATCTTTTAATATTTAATAGCACACATGCACTTCACTGAGCTTTTCATTTCATTCAGGATGGTTATTGGAATCTTAAATCTGGTGACGGATGTGATCCTTGTGACTGTGATCCAGGCGGAGCTTATGACAATTTTTGTGATGTTGTGACTGGACAGTGTCGGTGCAGGCCTGGGATTGAGGGACAAAAATGTGATCGTGTCATTCCTGGTTTCTACTATGCACTTTCTGATAATCTGAAGTATGAAGGTGAAGACGCGCGAGGCATTGGAGTGAGTATTATGTCAATGAGAAATATTCTCCCCGCAGTAATACTCTTTAACTATGATGCAGGGAATCGATCTGTGTTCATATCCTGATCCTGTTGGAAAAAGTAATAGGAAACATTTAGCTAAAATTCATTTAAACAAAGTTTTTTTAACCGACCGTGAGCCTAAATTAATAAAACTTTCTACCAGGAAACATCAGTGAACCTCCTTGAGCGACCTCAAGGTACCGATGTAGTGTGGACAGATGTTGGAAGTCTCAATATCTCCGAGGGAAATGGAGTGGAGTTCGTTGTTACAAATGTTCCTCACACCGGGAATTATAAAATACTGATGCGATTCCATCCTCAGGTGAAATTTATAGTCTATTATGGTCGTTCATAATTCTCCATGATCACTATTATTATAATAAGCATCAATACTGTCATAATAAACATCATCATCAATACTGTAACTGTCATGATAGGCATCATCATAAATTCTGTCATCATAAACATCATCAATACCATCATAAAAACATTGACATTATCGTCAATGATCGTAATCATCATTACCTGTTCTTTGTTCCAAAGACGTTTTCTTCCTGGGAAGAAGTTAAATTGACAGTTTCTCGGGCGGATGGTCAGAGAACGATCAATGGTGCTTGTGGAAATACTTTATCATCAAATGGTTATTCAGTAATTACCACGGTCCAACTTTATGAACAATATAAGTTGCTGGACGAAATGGTTTGTTTGGAGAAGGATGTGCATTATTACGTTCGTCTTGATTTCAACAAACGTCAAGGTCGCGATAACCACGCTAATTTAGACTCCGTAAGTAATGTTGGTTGTTGCATTCATGTTTCACACAAAATATGGGAATGTTATTTAACAAACAAACCGCTAACGACTTTCACCGTGCTGTGTTTAATCAGTTAAAAACATATTCCTGTAACTTTTAAAATCTTGTCTTGCAATATCATAATATCAATTGAAGTTTCCTCCAGGAATTTGACACGAACAAAAATCCACAGTGAAATATGCCTACAAAAGATGGTTGTTTAGAGCACAGAAACTTCTTTTCAAACCTAATTTTTCTTTTTCTAGCTTGTCCTAATTCCTGATATGAATTCAGTGAGTATATTCCAAGGTGATAGAGGTCGCTCAAGACTAAATGACTTCACAAGGTTTAGATGCGATAGAATAAGTCTTCGTGCAAAAGTTCCAAGACCAGAAGTACACAGCGTTTGCAAGAAATTGCATTTCTCTGGGTCGGCTGTAATTTATGATGGGGCGATACGTAAGTTCAGACTGTACTTTATAGTGTAGATCTATGAACGAGAATGCAATTAAGAACTGATATTATCTAGTTACATTATTTCAGTCCTTACATTGTTTTCTTTTGTGGTCAAATAATGATGAACATTCGATCCAATGTTTCTGAAGAATGATATCCAACAAAATCTAATAATTTGTCTACTGCAGCTTTGGCATTTCTCTATTCTAACTTTAACATTCCAGGAGTTCACTTCGGCAGTCCACTAAATGTTATCATTTTTTAAATTTTGCTGACACTGCGATGCGTTAGCGACTCAGTATTCGGGCTAAACCGAATCTGTTTTGACATTACAGCGCCAGAAATCTTCCTCATTTAGTTTCCTTCCACGTTTTCTCCACTAAATTCCCATCTAGTTGTCCTTACCTGATTGTCCACACCCACAGTTGTTCACCCTCACCTCACCTCACCTCACCTCACCTCACCTCACCTCACCTCACCTCACCTCACCTCACCTCACCTCACCTCACCTCACCTCACCTCACCTCACATCATCTCGCCTCGTTCTTGTTTTCTAACCCTCCCATCTAATCCTCCTTAATCCTTGTTTAACACCATATTCTCCTCTCTCCTAGCTTGTGACTGTAATCAGATTGGTACGATACGAAATGCCAGCGGTATTTACACGTGTAACGATGCCGCTGGTCAGTGTCCTTGTAAACCGAATGTGATTGGTCGAAGATGCCTAAAATGTGCTCCCGGAACATATAACTTTGGTCCAAATGGTTGTTCACGTAAGTGAAATATGTTGACTTCATTGATTTTTTAAATCTTTTTATAAAATATTTCCATTTCTTTCAGCATGCAACTGTGATCTACGAGGATCAGATGATAACCTGTGTGATGTCGTAACAGGACAATGTAAATGTAATGGTCTTGGCACTGGCAGACAGTGTAACGAGTGTCCTGTGGGACAGTGGGGATTTCCCAGATGTCGTCCATGTGAATGTAATGGTCATGCTTCACGATGTGATTCTGTGACAGGAGTTTGTATTGATTGTCTCCACAATACTGCTGGTGATAATTGTGAACTGTGCAAAGCTGGTTACTTTGGTGACGCCACCAAAGGTAAATTTCAGACTCAAATTTATTCCCTCATCCACAGGATCGCGATGTCGTATACAGTATGATTCCTACCCTGGCGAGCATGTATCTCCCAGATTTTGAAATAGTGAATCAATAAAATGTGGCATTAGCACTCGTTCTTACCCAGAGTCCCTACCTCATGTCGATCGAACGATCCCTGGACCGCCTATCCAGGCTAACAATCCTCGTATTTCTTGAATTCCGAAACGTAACGAGCGTAAATGCATGTTTCTTGTGAATTATTTTCTTCAGGAACATCAACGGACTGTCAGCAATGTCAATGTCCGGGGGGAAGCAGTGAGAACCAGTTCAGCCCAACGTGTAGAGTAGATACCAGTACCACGCCACCAACATTTATTTGTGATCAATGTCCAGTAAGTATTTGTGTTGATTATAAATTTGCTGGCGTATATATTTTTTGTATATTAAGAGCACTATTAGCACAATATACTGCACAATATACCATAAAAACGTTTGTCTATTTTCAGCCTGGTTACGAGGGGAAGCAGTGCGAAGAATGTAGCGATGGTTACTATGGGAACCCATTAATTCCAGGAGGAAAATGCCAGAAATGTAATTGTAGTGGCAATGTCGACTTTACTGAAGCCGGGGGGTGCGACAAGAAAACTGGGATATGTCTACGCTGTCTACATAATACCGCTGGGTATTTTTGTGATGTGTGCAAACCTGGTTTCTTTGGTAATGCCAAGAATCAAACTTGTCAACGTAAGTACATTATTATACTTTCTTGCGGACTTTCTAATGTCATATTAAATTGCTCACAAAAATTTTCTGTTTTCTTAGCGTGCATTTGTAACGAAATAGGAACAAACTCGGGTCCAGGTGCAGGCCCTTGTAATGCTTCAACAGGCCAATGTCCCTGCAAGCCTAATGTCGTGGGCTTGTCGTGTGATAGATGCGCGCCAGGGCACTGGAATCTAGCGAGTGGCGACGGATGTGAGTCATGTGACTGTTGTGCTTTTGGTTCGACGAAGAGCCAGTGTGACCAGGTGATATATGCTTTTACGTTAAGATTCTGTTATGGGATATTTTAGGACTGATAAAGATACTCAGCAGAGATATAGTTAGTTTAGTTAAGGTTTCTTTCTAAAGTAGAATTGGATTAATAAGTGATAATATTCACTGAACCTCTGCAAAGAACAGTTTAGAACTGATAGAATTTGTCCAGTATAAAGTTAGATTCCTCGTGTAGTAACACCAGAACAATTAGGAATAATATTTTTAGTGGACCTCAGGAGAAATTGTTTAGAATTGACATTATATTAAATGATCGTCCTTTTTACGAATAGTCATCAGGTGTGTGCGAATGTCGTCGGGATTTCGGTGGTGAAAAATGTTGTGATTGTGAAGAAGGCTTCTGGGGCGTACCTCCTGGACAGTGTAGACGTGAGTAGTTCATGCTTGCACTGCTTATTATTGAAGAGTCTGTTTGCAATTGGTTGCTGGCAGTTCACTGTTCCGCACTTAATTAGATAAATGCCTATTAAATGTTCAAGAGAATTGCCCGAAGTTGGGTATAAACCAGACATAATCTTTTTTATATTTGATATTTGTCAAACGTAAATAAATTTGTTTCATGTCGTATTTTTACACGTAAATCACTACAAAGACTGGATGCGCAGATTTTACTCTCAATCCTAGACCTGATGCTGTTTTTATTACGAATGATCTCGTGATATGCGGATTTATTAATTTTGTTTTGTTTTCCAATAGCATGCGATTGCAACCCTAGTGGCTCAGTGCACACTCAGTGCAACAAAGAGACAGGAGAATGTGTTTGTAAAGACGGTGTTACTGGAAAGAAGTGTAACAAATGTAAACCAGAAACTACCCAAGAATTCCCAGAATGCGAGGCTTGTCATGAATGTTACTACAGCTGGGATAAAATAATCACCGAGCTGGAGAAAATAGCCTCCAGGCTGAAAGGAGCCACTGGAGGTAAATTTAAGTTAAATTTTAATATTATTTAGGTGTAGAATAAGATCGGTACATATAAACAATCAACACTGGTCTGGTATCTTCGTCCGGCTTTGCGTAAGACGAAGCTGTAATATGATAATGAATAATGAAGATGATAACTACCTGAAGATCTCCTCTGACACGGTTTATGCACAGCGGGAAAAGTTTTAAATGAGAGCTTCATTGTTATCTTTACAATTTTTAACCAGGTAACGCAGGAGGGCCCGTTCCTGTGGATTATAAGAAAGATTTAGATGAGTTAGAAGAGCTGGTTCGTCGTATTGAATACATTCTTGATGACAGAACAACATACCCCGAACATTTAGAGGAGATAAAGAACAAGATAAACACATATCGTGCCAAAATCATGGTAATTATGAATAACATTGACCAGGTACACGAACATCTGGGCAACACAAGCACGGATATGAAACATGCGAACAATGAAATTTTAAAACTGCGTAAGATTTACGAACGGCTTCGTGTATTAGTTAAAGGACAGCTTCGAAATCTCACGTTGATCGAGGGGAAAAAACCAGGTGAAGCTCTGAATGACACACAACGGAGCTTGGAAGTTTCCATTCGTGCATTTGATCTTTCAAATGAGGTGAGAAAAATAATCGAAGAATCTGCTAAACAACGAGAAGAAATGGACAATAAAGTTCCTGGTTATAACAAGACACATGAAGAAATTCGTGACAAATTGAAAAAATATGAAGAAGAATTTGTTAGGCTCAATGACATTATTGCCAGGATTAATGAAAAATTATGTGGGGCTAATCAAACAATTTGTGGTGGATGCACTCCGTTTGGGTGTGATAATTGTGGTGGAGATGGGTGTGATGGAGCCATACCACTAGCCACGCAGGCTGTAGATAAAGCAACATTGGCTGAACGTAAACTTTGGGAGAAAGAACGTAAGTCTCGAAATAGGAGAGGCAGGAAGCAATGGTGAAAACAAATAGAATGTGGAGAAGAGAAAAACACTTTATAATTGACTAGTAGAGAGAATAGAAAAAGATAGGAGTTATTTAGTTTAGTTTGTTCTGGCCTCTGGTAGCACTTGATTAATGAAATCTTGGCAGAATTTTTTCTTAAAATTGCATACAACTAAAACTACTTTGTTCAGGTGATGCTAATGCTACTCTGGCTGAGGTCGTTCAAGCACGGATTACTGTTGACAATGCAATGAAGGAAGCCAAGATTGCCCTCGAACTGGCAAAAGCAATTCAAATTCAAGCTTCGAATGACACAGATCACATCACAGTATTGATAGCGGTATGTTTTGAAGCCACTAAACTTACAACAGATATTTTGGAACGGGATCGAAGAGAATTTCTTAACAAATTCAAACATAAGAATGCACAAATAACATGAAGTTATATATGGCTACGCTGATTACAACATTCCTGAGTGGATTTCAGAGGTTGATGAGCAATTCTTGTCTTATAAAACACTTAGGAAAAAGCAAAGAAATTCAAAACCATATTTTACCATGCCAAAGCGAGGATTACATAAAGTAAAATATATTCTACGCTCTTGAAATTTAAAGTTTTTTTCTTGCAGGAAATTTACAAATACTTAAATCGAAGTAGTGACAATGCTCACGAAGTTCGAAGAATTGCCGAATTCGTTCTGGGCAGAAGTTTGACGATCTCTGAAGAAGGAATTAAAGAACTCGGGAGACGCATCAAAGACGCTGTAAACAAGTTGACGGGAATCGATCAAATACTCATCGAAACCGCACGCGAATTATCGACGCTTGAAAATCTAAAACAAGAAGCAATTCAAGCTAAGTATGTACACTACATGCACCCAACATCAAGCAATTTTTTATCAAAATTATTGACAAATTAAAACTTTTCCCTATTAACTATTAACTCATGCATTTTCAACCGTAATTCCATTTGAAACTATATATAGCTATGTATATATAGGGTGGTATTACATTATTACCCGCTGGTAGATAAAATGTGGCCCTACCTAATGACTGCTGCTACTAAAATTCTCGTTTCAAAGTTGTATTGGTATATGAAATAAAGCGATGCAATTTTAAAAGTTCTTATCCTTCCCTAGTTCATCAGCGACGAATGTGGCTGGCATTGCTAAAGAAGTTACAGACTCTCTTGCTAATGTTGTTGTCGTTCAGGATGGCTTAAGAACATCTTTAAAAAAAGCAAAGAGAAAAATCAAAGATGTTGAAATTAGACTCCTCGAGGTGGGAAAAATACAGATAAAAAATACGGCCAAAAGAAATGAGTGAATTCGCCTTTTTTTGCTATCATCATCCACTAATATCTTAGTCCAAGATATATTCATTGTTTTTTTCTTCATTTTGCGAGAAGTATTTAGTAAACAAAAGAACATGGATAATTATACATTCAAACTCTCGTTTTTCGGAAAGCTTGCATAGTTTTAAATACCAAGTAGCCAGCGTTTCTGTGCATTTCGCCAAAATAGTTTACCTTCGATAACACCCGACAATAATCGTGAACTGAATAATCTTATTATATCTTGGTAGGTTGAAACAATCATAAACAAAACTTTGAACAAATCAATAGAATCTGTGCGTCTTACGACGGAGATGAAGAGGCGAATAGGACCGTTGGAAAAGAAATTTGAAGAGAATGAGAAGCTTTTGAAAGTTGCCGAAACGGAAGTTAAAGATGCCGTTAATATTTCCTCTGAATCAAAAACTGTAAGTTTCATGCAGACTGGTATAAGGCCTGATTCAAACGTCGTTCAGGATTATGCTAATCTTGTATTTTGTTTAATATTATATTTTCAAAAATAGCGTATTGTTTCTTTTACCCTATTTTCTTCTTTCTTGTAAAGGATTCCGCAGAGCTTAAAAAACGCTTTGACGACATGAGCAAACGTTACCAAGATAAATTAGATGAACAGAAAAAATTCAGGAATAGAACTGAGAAAGCTCTTGACGCCGCGAAAAAAGTAAAATCATCGCTTATCATGAAGCTTCGTGATTTAGAAAGTACGTTGAAATATTTTTCTTTATCGTTCTATACATAAAATCAGGGGAGTTATAATCAAGGAATGAAAAGTACCATCAATTTTTAATTGCTGTATTGTTTTTTGACCATTTCAGGTTATTTAATACGACGAAAGGAGCTTGAGGATCTTATTGAAAAACTGAAAAAACTTGAGGACCAAGTAGATGAGAAATATTGCGAGATAACTTTGGATACAGCTAATTTCAAAATTTGTATTGATGAAGGGACGAGCACAAAGGTACCCCTGCCTGCTGAAGGATATTGCGAAAGGCTCAAAGAGTATACCAAGACACAGGGCAAATAATGACTAGAAGCTAAATATTGCAGCCTGTTTGTTGTTCAAGAACACAAGCAAATGTTCATACTTGCTTGCTTATATCTGCTACTTTGTTTTTTTGTAAATTAATATAAGGTACTACTCCTAGTCAGATGAAAATATATTTAACACGTTAGCAGATTGTGAAGTGAACACCAGCCCTTTTTTCAACATTAAGACTCGAACACACCAAAACAATTATAAATCTTTAGCTTTGTTTACAAAATTAGGTTACAATTTTTATACTGAACTAGCTGTTTTGTTGGCTTTCAGGACATATTAATTAAATACATATTATAGGTTTATAAATTTAGGCCTGCATTCTTTCTATATTCTGTTGCTAGTTAATGTTATAATAAATTGTATTCGTAGTATTAGTAATATTTGAATCCCCCCTATGACAGCCTTGATTTAAAATGTACGATATTTTTATAAAAAAAACTTTTTTGCCAGAATTAGGCTTCCTAAAAAGCATATTTAAATATACAAAATCACAATCATTAACTTCAAATAACATATCTATCTGGGTTTTCGGTAATGCTGGTAATCAACGATGAAAGTATTTTAAATTACCAGGCTGCTATTGTCATTCTCTGCTGAGCTAGACGAAGCTTCGCTTGAAGCGACAGTGTAATTTGCTATTCCCGCTTGAATGTGAAGATTTGCTTTCTTCAGAAGCCTGAAAAACAAAAAATACTTCATATTTTCATCGAAATTAACATAAACTACGATGCGATATGATGAATGATGGTTTGAAAATTCCAATGACTTTATAGATTAAACAAAGCCTTAGATTAAACCAGGATTAAACCAAATCAAACTTGTATTTTAGCCACATAGTCATTGTCATAGTCGCCTAATTTTATTCGAATGTGAAAAAGACGGAAGGAAAGACAGAAAAAGATGGAAAAACAATGGAACCGGCGTGTATGTCACCATGTCTGCAGATTGCAAAACGTTAAGGCGTTGCAGGTATTAACTATTAAATGTTTCAGTAAAGGCTGGTTTTATATACTTCTTAATGCTAAATATTTTGTTATAAACATTACCTAAAACTCTTGTGTAAAAAAGTGAAATAAATGAACTGTGCAAAAAGAGAATAAAACAGTAGAACAGCAACATTCAAAACGCTAAAAAAGAAGATTTTAATGATTAGTTTAGTTCAGCTTTAATTCAGGGTAATAATAAATACTATGAGAGATCTGCTTGCATACATTTGGCACAGACAAAAATGAAATCAGTCAAACTTGATGCATACCATAAGCCATAAGTCTTGCGGTAGTACACCAATATGCTACCAACAGCTTCTGACAGATTAACTACACACAGTACAGCAGCATAACGATAAAATGCTCTGTTTGCTGAAGAAAAAAAATGAAAGAAAATAAAACACTTCGATAAAAGAGGGTATCTTGAGATGAAGACCAAGTGTAATGAAACTCACATGGTAATGATAAAAAACCTCGACCACATAAACAGTTTGTTTGAGGAAGAATTACAATTGAGCTATAAATCTAAATAAAATATAAAAAAATATTATATAGCAGATATTAATATTTTCAACTCGAAGAACATCAATTACCATTGCTATAATGACTTACTACAAAGAATATGCATGATGTGATAAACCAGAATAACATTCCACCATGATGAAACATATCGTATTTATTCTTGAAAATTTTTGCTCTATTTGGTGCATAGACTTCTAACAAAGACTTAAAGAAAAATATTTAAATTTGCAATTTGTCCATAATAGTGAGGTTATGATTTGACTCCTATGCCTCTATATACAAGGAAACATGAACCAAACGAATGGGATTATTTCAACAGGTTACCCCAACACAAGAACAATGTAAGGTAGAAGTAGTGGTAGCCAAATCAGAACCTTGCTAACATTGTCTTAATATAGTAACCTGAAAATTTTTTTAATAATTACAAATTAGGTGATTGATTGTCACCAGAAGTCTGTGACCATGTTGTAAAATTCAATTATTTTATACCTGTATTGTTGCATAAACAAGTGCCAAAAAAAATGAAAGGGATATAACTCTCTTTCCAACACCTTTATTTCTGCCACTACCTGCATTAGCATATTAAGTACATATATTCAGTAAATTGTTGATGCACTGTTGTAAGGTCTAACTACCTTGGCTACCCCTGCCAAGCTGGGCTAAATATCAGTCTTAAGTAGCAACATTGCTCTGAATGAGAATATATTGTTTTATATGGGAAATGCATGAGGTAATAAAAATTGAATTAAGCCTTCACAAGCATGATTTGATCAAGAAGAGACATTTTATTAATCTAATAAGATTATTGTCAGTACCAAAAAGTCCAAAGCCAATGACACTTATCTCCACTGCAAGAACAAGGAACCGTAAGAACAACCATAGGCTCTGAAAGGTTAAATTGAATTACTAGGATGTGAAAAACTGTGCTAAATATATTATGCTATTCAAAACAATACCTCATTAGCTAGATTCCCATCTGGCCTGTGCGCTTTGGTAATGGTAGCAACAAACCCTCGAATTATACTCACACAACATACAAGTGATACCTAGAGTTTTGATAAATCCATGAAATATTTATAAACATCACAAACAATAGATCACCTTGAGCTCATAGAGTGCCTGAAGTCTACTGCAAAGTTAACAGAATGTAAAAAAAAATGCAAACAGCATATACCAGTATAAGCAATGTTTTGACAACTGGAAAGCTACGTTGTTGAAATGCTTTATAGAATAAACCAATATGATATGCCAGGAATATCAGAAAGAGCATGTTTGGTGTCAGTAATGCCAGGTTCCAATATGTGATACTATAAAAAATACATTAATTTTTATGCTATTATCATAGCCTTGGTTCCAGCTAGTCATTTTACAATATGTGCAGCAATTTAAAAAAATTCCCCCAAAGATATGATAAAGTATGAATCAGGTTTCATTGTGCATGACTCTCTTCATTATTTATACGAAGGATGCTTTAACAATGTTTGTAACATGCATTAGACCAAATTGTTTTCAGGCTCACTGGCTGGTGGAAGCTACTGTGCACAGCCCCAGGTTGTTCAAAAGCCAGTTACCTTAACCCTGGGTCAACTCAAAATTTTATATCAATTTTTTTAATCGCTTGTTTATGAAGTTGAAGGTTGAAGACAGCGGAGTAAGATTTAACCCACGATTTGCGCTAACCCAGCTTTGAACAACCGGCCCCAGTCACTAACAGTCTAATGGGGATACCAAAACTAGTTTCAACTTTCACATATATCGGTTACATTTTATCATTTTATTAATTAACTAATTCATTTCGCCCTTTTTTTGATGCCCTAGATTTAGATGACCTAGATTTAGATGACCTAGATTTAGATGAAAACCTAGATTTATCCCTGGCGTGATCAACATTTCATTCAAACACAATGAAATATTATAAACGGGAAGTTCTACAAAATTAAAATTCTTACCAAGTGTTGCCAATGGATTTTCGCAACATTTCCCGACATACTCCATAGTCTATCGGTTCTCCAAGCGACGAGGCATTACGTGTTGTTACCATTGACTTCGGTATTGAAAAATAGCTATCCATTTTATTCATTTTTTGCCATCACTTTCGCGAAATTATAAACAAGTTCCGGGCGGCGTACCGACGGAGACCTTCAATCAAAAGCATCAAAATTTCTTTGCCAAAATATTCATAATCAATTTTATGAACCATTAAGATAATACCTCAGATTTTACCTTTAAGGCCATATTTAATAGCAATAATAATAATGTTCGACCATAATTTGAGTCATGGGAGAGATATAAAAATTATTAGAATGACAAAGCACGTGATGAAGCCGACCTGGAACATGCGCTCACCTTGTCTGTCAGGGTCATTTCATTTTCTTCTGTCGGGAAGTATTTACTATTTATAGCAAAGGGGTGTGTAGATGGTATAGACAAAGACGGTTTGTGTAAACTCTTGACTCAGGGAAGTTCAGCATTTAGGCTGACTATACTAGAACATCCCTGGCAGAGTTAATTCAGTATATTCATTCAATCCTATCAAAGTCGAAATACCATATTCCGGAATATTCCGGTATATTGGCCTTCACTATTTTTTTAACGTCCTTTACATAGATTAGCCTTTTTTTACCGATTTCATATTTGTTTTTTTGTGTTTGTGATGTTTTCACTTACGCATTCATATGCATTTGCATCAGTCACATCAGTCTGGATCCCCACCTGTCTTGACTAAATGACAAAAAAACGAAAACAGGAGACAAGGGCGCACACTGATTGGCTGTTTTAGCACATTTTTAAAAACTTTTTTGTTTGCGCACAGATATTTTGTATTTCTGTCAAATGTTTCGTTCAACAGAAATCCCTCAAATATTAATAGTAAGCAGATATTCTATGTACGCTCGGTCCCATAGTATCCCGCAACATACCAAGAAAACCATGGATACGTGATTGTTACTTACATGACGTTTTTCGCGAACACTGAACAGGCTGAAGAAGAACTCAGGAACAGACATGGAATGATCGAAATACATTATTTTGTTTTCTGTTTTTGGCGGGATTTTTCCTTGTACTTCAACAGATCCGACGAGAATAAAGTAATATGGATGCCTCTTTGGTCTTGGATATAGCGATCTTCTTTGTTTTGTTCACAAATATTTTAATTTGTCCTTACACTAAAGTTGAGGAGAGTTTCAATCTACAAGCTACGCATGATATTTTATATCATGGATTGAATATTTCAATGGTAAGCAAAAAACGTTATACAGTTAGAATTATAAATTATATTTTGGAGGGGGCCAAATTTTCGAAAGGGGGGCCATATTTACTAGGAAATATGACCCCTGGGGGGGCCAAATTTTGGGGAGGCCAAATTTCCAAGAAGGTGTAACTAAGGCTAAGTGTTACAAGTTACAACAGGAATATAGATCAATCATCAATACTTATATCATTTTAAAACAATCATCGCATCACTTCGCAAATCTTTTGATTTACAATCCAGTGGTGGATTTATAGGGAGGTGGACAGGGGTGTGCACTCCCTTGACCTTGATCACCAAGATTACATATAAAGGGGTCCAAATTACTCAATGGCCAGTTTGAAAAGGGCAGGGGGGTCTGAGTACAGGGGGCAAATACCTGTGGCTCTGGAGAGCTCAGAGGGCCCCAGAAATATTTTGCAAATAATATTACTATGTGTACACTTGTCATGACAACAGGTCAATAAACTGTGTTGTATTTGCTTGGTTTTGGCTTGCTGAATCCACCACTGGTTTATTTAGAATTTGCGTGATGACGTAGGTATACAAAATAGGTGTTTGTCTGGATCTAAAACCAGCTTAGAAATATCTGCTTGATTGATTTTACTGTCATTTGTAATATTAAAAGATAAACTAAACTGAGTATCAAAGAGCTACCTAATTACAAATCCATATCAGACAAGAGTGATGTAAACTTACATTAAGAACTTAAACTGCTCAGCCAAGTTAATAGAAATATAATCATTCTTTTTCAGTATGATCATCTTCAGTTTCCTGGTGTTGTTCCTCGGACATTCATTGGACCACTTTTCATAGCTTTATTGAGTTCTCCTCTTGTAGTGACCCTGCATATGATGAGTGTGGCGAAAATTTATTCTCAATTAGTTGGTAAGCCATATTTTTATTTTTTGGGCACATTTGTAGACAATCTGTTTAGTTTTAACCACAAAATCAATATTTAGGAATAAAATAATCTACAATTAAACAAACAAGAATAGAAAAAATAGAGTAACATGTTATGTTCTCAGAGACTCAATTCTAAACATTGACTAAAACAATGCATTATTTGTATACCTAAATGATAAATGCTAATTGCTAAGTACTGGTACAAAGAATATAAGCAGGTATGTAATATGTATATTGAAAAAATATAAGTTGGTATATAACATATACATTGTATATGGATTAGGAATATTACAAATTTCATAGATACAGTAAAGATGTATTTATTTTTAACTCAAGTCTTTACATAACTAAATATGAGAGGACAGTTATTCAAAAGCTGGTTAGCTTAACCCTGGGTAAAGCAAATCTTTACATTAATTTTTTTAATTGCTTGTTTACAAAGTTGAATATCTTTTTTATAAATATCTTTTTTTGAACAACTGACCCTAGCATGCTTGCTTTTGGTTATTTGATAAAATATTTCATCAATCTATTTTAGTTAGAGGAATACTTGGGATTTGTTGTCTTGCATCATTTCGGTTGTTTCGTCATGGTGTTCGTCAGAAATTTGGTCCAACTGTTGCAAACTTTCTCTCGATCATAACAATTACACAGTTTCATCTGATCTTTTACATGTCAAGACCTTTGCCAAATATTTTTGCTCTTGTGCTAGGTAAGGATGAATATTTGTCCTTTAGTATCTCCATTAATCCCTATAAAATCTTAACCAGTCATTCATCAAACAAGATATTGGATTTTTGGAGCCCTTAATCCTAAACACAAGCCTAACTGACCTGATTTTCTGTAGTTAAACCTAATACAAATAACATATACAGCTTTTATTACCTGCTATAGCTTTATATATAGCTTTACTAACCTCATTGCTTTTTTTTCTAGTATTGGCAGCTTTTTATTTCTGGTTTTCTGGAAATGACCCTGCTTTTATATGGTGTTCTGGATATAGCATAATAATCTTTCGTGCTGAATTGGCTTTGTTAATGGGAATTATAATACTGTTTGAACTGTATCATAAAAGAATATCTTTCCCTGCAGTCTTTCTTCATGCTGTTTGTGCAGGCATTACATCATTAGGTGAGAAAATTAATTTATTAATTAAGGTTGAGTAATTTGGCTGAGGGTTATTTTCATTTCACTTGAGTCCCTGGCATTATATAACATGGTACGTTGATATATGATTTTAAAAATTGATTTTTGGTACTTTTTCAAAATCTCCCAATTCTAGCATTGACTGTCATCATTGATTCATTTTTCTGGCAGAGATGGTGCTGGCCAGAAGCAGAGGTTTTCTGGTACAACACTGTGTTAAACAAGAGTTCTAATTGGGGTGTATCCTTTCGAAATATTGAGGGTGGATCTAAACCATCATGATCTCAACACAGACATTGGACACAGACATATTCTTATTGGAGCTATTATGTATTATAAACTGAGGTTGGCAAATGTTCTTGTCAAAGGAAAAAGAAGCAGAAGGAAATTCAAATAGTCAATCCTTAACAAATCTCTACAGACATCTCCATTCTTGTGGTACTTTTATTCAGCATTGCCCAGAGCCCTTTCACTTTTCACACCATTTCTGATTGCGTATGGTTTAAAGTATGATGCAAGAACAAGAATTGTATTCTCAGTGACATTAGCATTCGTTTTTCTCTTTTCATTTTTGCCACATAAAGAACTTCGTTTTGTCTTGTATGTTGTACCTCTGATGAACACAGTAGCAGCTGTTGGCCTTAACTCTATGTACGTCATCTTTATTTCACCCACAGTTTTTTTTGTCTTTGGCTAAAAAGGCTACGTGCATAATTGTTGAAAATTAATGTCAATTTATATATTCTTAGTTATCAAAATATCCTCAAATGGAAGGTGGAAATTCGAAACATATTTACCGTATTTGTTTTTGGTGGTCTATTGTCAAATGTTGTTATCACGAACATCCTCCTGTATGTGTCATCACTAAATTATCCTGGCGGCCTGGCATTTACAAGATTACATCACCATCTTCAAGACTCTACAGGAAGTGTCCATATTTGTAACCTGGCTGCTCAAACAGGAGTATCAAGATTTGGGGAACTGCGAAATGATTGGAGGTATTTGCATGTATCCGAATTGATATGTTTAAAATGTGATCATTAAGTTATAATTGGTTGCGTAACAGACCGACGTAAGGCCCTTCCGTACTGGGAACCTGTTTCTCAGTAATTAGATTTCACTTATATGTACACCAACATCATGTTTCTTTAGCTATCCTGGGGTTGACTAAACCAATGGGGACCCCAGTCTCTGGCGACCTGTTTCAGTCTGTAATTATGTTTTCCTCGCACGATCATGATCTATTTTAGCGCAGACTATGTAGCTACACTACACTAACTACTTTTTAGTTCTTGTCCTAACTCTACCTAACGTTCGTTTAAAGGCCCTGTTACACGGTGCAATTTTTCTTGCAACTTGCAATGCAATATAGTATTGCAAATTAATTAATTAATTAATTGCATATTATTATTGCATATTGTTTTTTGGATTGTCTATGATGTAAGAAACGTAAAGGAGTATAATAAACGTAAAAGTTTCGTAGTTTCCAAATTTAGATTTCTCAAAAGTAGAATTGCATTGCAAGTCGCAATAAAAATCGCACCATGTAACATGGCAAGCAATTATGATTATGAGCAAGCAACACAACTAATCTTCAAGCAGATTGTTCACTTATTCAATTGCATTTATAGTTTCGGTTCTTTCAGTTTATATCATCCTTTACACGATATAATTATATATTTGAAGGTATTTGAAGAAAGAAAACATTGAACAAAATTTAGAAGAATTAGAGAAATTTACCCATTTAATTGTGGAAGCGCCATGTGAAATATTTGAAAACACACACAAGATGCTAGAAGAGATTTATGGCTTTGGAGGAATATCATTAGAAACACGTGACAATTTCCCTTATTTTTCTGTCGTAAAAATGATTCCAAAGTTATGTATTTTAGAGAAAGTATGAAAAACAGTGTATTTTCATTAAATGACTCGCCACATAAAATGCGAATGTAATTTTTATCAACGACGAGTTCTGCGTGTAAGCGGGCCTTGAATCTATACTGTTACTAAGGCCCTGTCTACACGGTGCTGTAAGAATTTGAAAACGCAAGTCGTCGTTTTCAAATTCTTCCACTCTGGAGAGCGTTTTCAGATTCTTCCGTTTTCAGTGATCGAAAACGCCGGATACGTGTGGACGATACGCGTAACCCTAAGAATATTCTTTTCGATACTGCGTTTTCAAATTCTTCCGGCATCGTGTGGACGGGGCCTAAGGCTGTGAACTTTGCTTTTTCTTTCGATATGCTAAATGCCCTCGAATATGAAGTAATTCGATGAAATGAAATAAAATCCTTCTGCGGCTGCTCTTCAGGAACAAGTGGATGTCTAATTCTTAAGACTTTCCGATGTGGTGTTACGACATAAACCGGTATAGTCTTTAAAATTCAAATTAGTCATGAGATCATAACGATCTGATATAACTTGACTAAAGACAAGGTGAAATATATAGCTTGACAGCTTTCCAGAATTTTTATTGATCAGAAATAGCCTATCGTTAGAATTTTTATACCCAAATTCCTGCATATTCGTCCTGCAGTATAATACAGTATAATACAATATTGAGTATCTCGTTAGAAATGAACCGGTGGAAATGTAAATAACGATATACTTTAATGCAGAGTTCTGGAAACACTGTAAAATACATAAAATACCAGTAATCTGTCTTTACTGAAATAAAACAGGACCAGCCGTTTTTACATGCAGTATAAAGGAGCGACCCTAGTTTGCATAATGGTCGTATGGTATGCAATTGAAACAAAAGAGATGATAAACTTCATTGTCGTATCATTTATTGTTTGAATTGCATTCGACGCGACCAAAATGCGACGTTTATAACCTTGGCCTGATTCCTGAACGTTACACAGCTTGTGCAATCCTTTGAAGTTTGAACGAAAAGAGGGAATTGTTGAAGAGAAAGGTTTTAGTTTTTATTTCATTCGTAAGCTCGTTTTCAAGGTAAATTATTTTTAAATTGAGTAAAATTCCGCTGTTAGTTTATTCAAATACTCGGCTCAGAGTTAAACAAACAAACAAACACAGATATTTTAATCAGGCATTCTAGGCAAATTTTAAATGGTTCATTTCTGATGTCGATCTTTCCCGGCCCATGAGGAATGAGAAGAATTAATCCTGTTTTTTAAATAATTAGATTATCCAATCAAAGGCAATATCAAAGGCCACGTTGAGCTGTCAGGCCGGGTGTGTTTAGAGTTTAGCCAATAGCATGACTTTATTTTCCTCCACGAGGAGGGGGCTAAATTAATATTCAGCTCTGATTCAACTTCAAGACATCATTTGGGCACTGATCTTCGAAGTGTAAAGATAGATTGCTGATTTCGACTGAAATTATCATCTTATGACCCGGTCTTCGTACGGGAGAGACGTTTGCTGTCTCTGCCGTCGTGTCGTTGGTATAAGAACAGGTAATACGCCTTTCTGTTTTATTATCTGGTTGCTTTATCGAGAACCGTCATGTGCTAAAACTTCACCTCGTGTCGTTTTTTAACGTTTATTAATTGATCTTTTTATTTATTATTTCACGCAGAGTTCTGAAAAACTTAAGATGAGATTCGTGAACAAGAGATTGACTGCCGATAAATTGTGGCTTCTTCTCGAAACTTATCAGTTAAATGTAAAAGGTAAAATACGAAGTCTTACGTGAATTTCCAGGGTTTGGATGTGACAATCTAGTTGTATTCTATAGCTGCTAACTTTCACTTTAATTTCAAGCAAATGATATCTTTGAATTGAGTTCTAAGGACTCTAAGACTGGGAGAAACTAAGATTTCCTTAACGTTAACTTTTTCAGGTTGAGTTTGATAATGAAAAAGAAAAAATGTTAGTGACTAGTGGGCAAGCAATTTACCAGCGAAAATATCCGGTTGAAATTGCCCGAGTTGACTCGCGTTTGAAGAGACGGCAAGTCCAAAGCTGCTCTTTTAAACTTGTTCCTGGAATGAACAGGTATATAAATTATATATTTTTTGTCTATTTGTTTCACAGTATGATGGGGGATCTTGACACGCTTGATCGATCTACGTGTTTGTGCGCTCTTTCCAATGAATAATCATGTACTTGAATGCAAGTTTGCTCCAAATATTTGACCCTTTATTGAGGGTGTTTTATTGAAAAGAACTTGAAATCACTTATCACTGCCTATAACAAGCATTACCTTTATTTTATTTCAGGTAGAGCCATTTACCGAGTCCAAGCTACTTGAAACTTCATAAACCTGTTCATGACTAAAATGTAAGTCTGTTTAAACCACTTGAACATTTTAGTAGCCTACAAGAGTTGAACAATGCATGTGGGAGTTTGGGAATTGTGATTTAGGACAGAAACGACGATCGCTGACAATACAATGATATATAAATTTAAAAAATTTAAATAATTCATAATAGGCAAGAAAAGGGATAAATGAAATCCCACAGGGGAATATAGACGTTCTCTAGAAGATCTGTACACAACGACGTTGCCAATTTGTTTGCAAAGATACTACATGACTGAAGATATCTAAAATATCATGATTTGATATCTAAAATCAAATATTAAACTTTTCCTATCGAAACTTTTCGTCTGAACTATTATGGCCTTGGCTCCAATTAAATTACGCTTAATTTTTCGGGGAAAAACATTTATATTTAGCGCCACCTTTCGTTACTGCTACCGGCCGTGCATGATTGCTCTGGCAATATGCCTCGGCCCGAAAACATGTCAAATCAATTTCTCAGGAAAAATATTTCTCAGCAAATGCTGTTTTTTTTAGTTCCCGCTGTCGCTGTATGCCTTAGCTCAAAAACTATGAGCAAAAAAGGGAAACGGTTTTACCTTGTGCTGCGGTTTCTGTAAGGGCAGTCTGCTTCTTCCTTATGGCTTTAGAATGCTCCTTAAATCATAAAACTGCTAATCAAAATAAAAAAGAAATACTTAGGAACATTGCCTATGGATTTGTCAGGGAACAGGACTTCGCTTGCATCAAAATGTATTAAGACTAACAATGATCCAGAGGTTTGCTTGCAATCTTTCATATGTAGCTATTTGTTATCGCCGTCGTCACGTTTGCCGTCCTCAGTCGCACCTCTACTTTACTTTTGATCATAATTCCGCCTCCTGCATGCTTATATGTAATATATTATTTTTATCCTATTTTGAAGAAGCAATTTTACGTTTTTCCCCGATCAAAAACTACAGTTTTTCTTATTTTATCCTAAATCGTTTTTCAGGTTGATGAAATATTACAATTATAAATCATCGCTCCGTAAAGACGCCAAAACGACGAAAAACGAGGCAAAACGACGAAAAACGACACTAAACAACGCCAAAAACGGCAGAACTCCGAACTGTAGTGGTAACGGCGATTTCTCCGACATCGTTTCAGGTTAGAGTAGCCTGGTGGTCAAAAAATGTGCATGCAGGATTAGGATGTGATGTTTTTTACAGTCAGTCAAAATCAGTGAACTGGTCAAAATACGTTCTGGCCACCAGGAACATATCTTAATGCATGATGCATGTTACAATGGGGTTAAAATGTTTTATACTACTACTTTCTACTGGGATAAATTCCCGGTACACTGTTCTTATAAACGCAAAAATGCGAGGATTCAACTTTAGTTTAGTTAGTTAAAGTTCATTTCGCAAGATTTACAGTGCATAAAACCATCCACTCTGGTCCACCGTTGCCGATTTGCCTCAGTGAATTTTTGAAATTTATCAAAGTATGATTTTATTTGTTCAAGTGTATTGTTTTCATGGAAGAATGCAATTCTAATTAATTTTGAAGCATTTCGACGTATTTTCAAGCGAATTTAGTAATTTCAAAAAATTGACGCAAATTAGGATTCAGTTTCTTTTGGTCCCCCGTTGCCGATTTGCCTGAAGTTTCGAAATTTATCAAAGTATGATTTTATGAGTTCAAATGTATTGTTTTCATGAAGGAATGCAATTCTACTTAAT